TAGGTCTTATGTCATTTGCTGCGGGATAGAGTGAATGTTTAGATCAGCCAGAAGGAGAGAAGGAATGACAGTCTGTAGAGAAAACAATCAGCGAATACATCCTAATTAGGTGCTTGTACACGTGCAATATGACATCTGTCTTTCATTTAAGGATTGTATTTTGTGTAGCTGATTGAAACGTCTCCCAGATCTAGATGTAGACGTTGTTTGGTTAGCTTGGATTCTTGTGTGTAAGTCTTTGTTGTGGTTTTTTTTTCATGTGGGAATTCACTGAACCAGTCACAGACCAGGGATAAATTTAGTAGTACATCACAGGTGATATCGTTGTGTAACTAGGTCTGGATGATGTATAATAATACATAGGTGTTGAAATGACGAGTGATATAATACTAGATATCAAATATAAATGGTCACAAACACATCATTCTGTCACCGTCTCAAGAATCAGTATAGTATATGGAGTGTGAAAAATGTACGTGTAGGGTCAGGTCACGTCCATGCATGAACTTCAGGATGGTCCATGGACGATACACACACTACATAACAGTTGTTACTGATTGCGCAAAGTTAGTTACATAATGTTTCAAGTAGAACTCCAAAACGTTTATATTAATACGTTTATCACATTGAATGAAATGGGAGTACTTTTTCATTTCTGGAAGAAAAAAAATTTGCTTCCTCTAGTCGTCTCCTACTGTCTCACCCTTTGTTCCTACTATAGGTTACTGTAACCTTAATCTTCACACATGTATGATAAAAAAAAAAGTATGACATGTGCAGCCAGTGATTTGATGGGACTGCTTGAGTCAGTCAGGGTTGAGCAAAACAGAGTTGAGAAAGTCTTTGCTCTTTCTCCTAGTTATGATCCTGACAGTTATCAGAACAAGCATTCAGTTTAAGATAATAACCCAGACAAGAGTCTGACTGAACAAAGCAATATAAATTAAATAAAGTCAGACCTGATCTGAAAGCTGCCAAACTATAGTACAGGGCTATTCAACTAAGTGTACTTAGAACTTAGGGGCCACATTTTTTCAAATTGGGAATCGTCACAGGCCAGAAAATTGCCAGTGACCAGTGGGCCACTTGCCAGGCCTCTGCGGGCCAGATGCAGCCCATGGACCGCCAGTTAAATAGTCCTGTGTAGTAGAACATAGTGATTCAAAGACACTAATTCCAGCCTTATTTTTTTTTTTTCATTTTTTTCAAATTTCCCTAAAGTCCATACGGTGTGGGGTTGGTAGTTATGTCTATCCACAACCTTTTGTCTCATGTACTTTCAGTCAGTCTCTGACACAGATCATTGTCCATGCCATGATGTCAGACTCCACCAGCTTTTCTCTCAGTCTCCCTCTGCCTCTCCTTCACTCCAGCTTTCCTACTGTCACAGTGTACTCCAGTTTTCTTCTTCTCATCACATGACAAAAGAATGCAGACTGTCTATTTCTGATGTGGGCAACCAGTTCTCTTTGTAAGTCAGTTTCCTTCAAGGCATACCTTTACTTCTTTTATATGTCTAGGGTATTCTCATCATTCATCTATAAAACCAAATCTCTGCAGCTTCCAAACAGTTTTCTCTAATCTATCACCTCCTCATGATTCACTTCCATACATCAGGATAGGATTTATATACCTTATCCTTGATTGGCAGGTGGTCTAGAAGGGAAGCTCCGACAGGTGGACAGAGCACTTCCCTTTTGATTCAGCAGCTTCTGTAGCAAGCTTTGTTCCAAATGTATTACCTTTAAAAAAAAAAAAATTCTGCACTAAACAAGGCTGGTTGAGAGATCATGGTGCTTGGGCAACACATCTACAATACTGCTCTAGCTTTGTGCTGTGGAGAAGAGGAACTTGATTTCTTGCTTCAGCTGGTCTTGCGAAACCTGTTTGTTGTTGTTGTTTTTAAACATTAACACCTTTACCACACCACACCTTTGCCCCCCTCTAGCACAATATAACAATGGAAAGGTGCTGACAAGAATGCTATAGTTTTAACTCTTAACACACACAGTTTATTTTGCCTGACCTGAGAACTGAAAAAGGGATTGCTTCTTTCAGAGAAGTTTTAATTGCGGTTTTATGGAGACTTTTCTTCCAGTGCAGCACCCAGTCAGCACCACCACAGGGGCATTGGTACAGATCTCTCCTTTCCCACTGTTTGTTAAAAAGCTAGCTGAATCTGCAAGAATATTCCTGGAACAACTTCTCAGCTGCAAAGAGCCACAATTAAAGCCTGACATATGATACCATATCTAGTTTGAAAATGGAGATGTAGGCAGTCACAGCAGCTTCCGCCTCTTGAGAAGCATTGCAAAGAATGATTGTAACAGACTCACAAAGCATGCTAGAAAAGTTTATGAGAGGCAAACATTGCTTTAGTAGTTTGCCACTATTAGATGTTTTCTCTAGGGCATTCAGATGTGTTGGGATGGGAAACAGACAGACAGCTGGTTCCTGCACAACTTGGTGGTAACTGATGCATGACAAGCTAGATAGGGTCAAGACCCTGTGGGAGTGAGTGAACTGTAGGGGAGCACATATGGGTCATGGTGCAGTGATCTGGGATCTGGTCAATACTCTGAGGGAAGGCAAGATAAACATACGATCAGACTTCTGCTGGAACTCTTCATCGGTTGAAAGGGACACAGTACTTATGGTATTGTCCTGATGCAGTGATGTTGGTCCTGAGCTCAGCTAATCTGCTAAAATGCTTACTGTAGCCAGTTCATAATTCAATTCATCAAGAAAAAAACTGTCTTGATTTGGCTCAGGTCTGCAGATTACTTTTATTTCTTTGACAAGTCTTTATCTGAATGTCCTGGGGACACATCAATGTACGAGTCAATAGTTTTATAGTTTGTTAAAGGTTAAAACCAAAGTTGAGAGGGGTTGCATTGAATTTCATTCCATATGGCTCGGTATCTCTATACGGAATGGCTAGCAGCCTGCCAAGAATGGCGCACAAAGCATGGAACATTGTTGCTCAGGCAATTTCCACAAGAGTCTCTGAATTAATTGCACCTGTGAACAGAATGACATAGTTGTGAAATGAACCAATGACCTTCAGAGCATGAAGCTACGGCTTGATCACTTTGCCAGGACATCCTCTCACCCCCTTTTCCCAGTTTTTTAAACTTATTTTTTTTTAAATTTCATTTTCAGTATCAGCATTTGACTTCTAATTTTTAAATACTGGTTTGATATCAATATTATTGACAGTTTTGATTCTTTACTGCAGCTTTTCTGTGACTTTGTGGAGAGGAACAGCTGCTTGATGCTTTGGTTAGATTATCAACTATAAAATAATTAGGACCAGAGTTTCATTCTGATCGCTCAGATGATCATCAGAGTAAAATGTTACACCCTGAAGTGAATTGAAAAGAGATAGATCACTGCTGAATTTGAGACCAGCTATGTCAACACTTGTTATGTAAGTACACACATAACTGTATTAACTACGGCTATGTTTATTCAGTGATTTTGTAGTTTATCACTCAAAGTTTAATGTTGAGAGGATTGCATTTCTTCTTCTTTTGCCCTGTCTCTGCCAAGGGAATCTAGACCCTCAGCCATCTCACATCATGTCTTTCTATCCTTTGCTCTTTTATGCAACTCACCCTGTGTCCTCCCCATCTCTTAAGACTTCACTACCTAGATTCCTTTACATCCTCTTTTGCCACTTCGGGTGTCAAAGGAGATATAAGGTCCTGCTTCTTGCTATTCTGACTGCTTCGACCATAGACACATTGTGGTGCTGTAGAGTTTCTCTGGTGTTATCTTACCATCTTGTTCTTGGTCTACCCCTTGATCTACATCCCTCTTCTCTTCTGGTATATGACTTGTATGGTATTAACATGGGGGTGACTGCAGTCAAGCTAATACAAGGAATTCCAGTGAAATGTGACTAAAAAGCTTAACAAAATGGAGAAGCAGAAAAACCTGCACAAAACAACACAACATTTCGGCTGGCAGCCTTTGTCAAACATGAAGTGAACTACACAAATGTAACAAAGAGCCTCTTGAAGGCTCCATAGCCGCAACGTTTAAGTTTTGTTTGTTTGTTATATTGTGAAGCTCTCTGACATACTTTTTGTTGAGTTTTATATCTTTTCTGGATATCTCTATTTTTTTCACACATTTGTAACTTCAAAAGATATTTTTGCTTGCTAGTTGTCGAATATTTAGTCTCATGTTAAAATGTGTTCTATATAGCTTATCCTAATGAATTTTCTAACTTTGACACACATTTTTGTATTGCATTTAGGGTTTTCCGAAGACACATGAGTTAAATTGTCCAGAGATTTGCTGTGTGACATCCTAAAGTTATCTTCTCATCAAGTCTTCATGCCTGTACCTTCAGACTAATAGAAATTTTCAGGCTGATTTAATCGGTCATCTCTGAACAGATATTTTAGCCATTTTTTGACAGTGCTGGGAAAACAACAGCAGTCAACTAATAAAATTGTCATATTTAGGGTCTCTGTGGTGTGTACTGGTCAAGCAGTTTGCCTCACATTTGCTTTACACTCTGAATGTTGTTCATTAATTTTTACACTGCTTGTTTAGTTCATAGGAGCTGAAGTTTTTGAAGCTTTCGAAGCATCTTTGCTAGAGCCAGCTAACTGCCCCTCTTACACCACATGAAAGTTCCAATCAGCACAAAGAAACATGTCGTACAAAGCATATTTATTCTCATACTATGCTATCAGTGCCAGACATGGTCACTCACAACAAACCAGAAATGAACTTTAGCAGTAATAGAAATTATATGTCTGCAGGAGTGATTAGAAGAGATACAATTAGAAATGAGATCATAACAGACAAGTCGGCATAGATCCAATTCTAAATTAAAGACAGAAAATGAAATGGTTTGAACCAGCTGCAGTAAATAATTATCTTGTTTTGTGAACTGTGAACTTATACCCAAATAAATAATTTCTCCTTTCATTTTTATTTCAGGACTAAACATTTTAGTGGCTGCTAAAACATAAAGAAATAAAATGGCTTCAGACTCAGAGGAGATTGAGTATCAAGCTATAGGCAAAAATCTGTACAAACCTGCCTATCGGCAAGAGGCTGCTGGGCCTAATGAAGAAGATGATGATGACAGTGAGATAAGTTTGCAAGAGGAGCGAGGATTTCTGGTTCACATGAGTCCTGATGTTAACAGATGTGAGTTTTTAGTTATTAAAAAAAAAAAAATTATTTGTTCTCCTTCTTTCTTTGACATTTACTGTTCTTCATTTTACTCTGTAGGCTGAGCAGGCAGCTAGCGACTCTGCAGCAAGAGACAGAGCTTAATAGGAATAAAAACCTAGTGCAGAGGAGTTGATCATCTTATCATTAGCTTTAACTGACTGCGGAGCTCTGCTGAAATGTTAAAGATGATACAGTATTTCAATTTCAAAAATAATATCACTGGATCATCATCACACAGCAAGTCCTTCACAGATTGTCGTTATTTTCGTGGCACACCTCTTTCTTCTTCTTCTTTGTTAACCGGCTGTAAGCTGCAGCAGAAAGTCTTAGTTCTTCGACCACGACCATTTCTACTTTGGCTTGTGCCAGAGCCTAAATTTTGTGTGTACATCCATTTGACTGGCTTATTTGTATGCAGTTGGTTGTTCCTTGCTGCTTTGGTAGATGCACTCCAACACTGCATACAGTGGCTGATTTTTTTGTTTGTTTGTAAACCCCGATGGAAAGACCTGGTTGTTTATCTATTTCTGGACTTTGACATTGTTCCGGGACCTGAGTTTTGCGTGTGCATCTGTTTTACAGATCTTGTTTAATTTTATGCAGACTGTTGGTTCTTCGCCTCTCAGGCAGATGCACTCTGACTTTGAAGGATACCCCCAATAAGTCAACTCTTATGACATGCCTTTTGGGAAGGCAGTGGGTCTACACTTGTTTTCCCCCACAATGAGACCCCAGAACCCACATGGGAAGTCTATACAGTGGTTAATTTACCAGAGGAAAAGTAGTTGGTTGTTTATTGGGAACTGATTTCTGAATATCTGTATTGAAATGGAAACAACCTGAGCACCCATAGCTAGCATGCAAGAATGAATAAACATTTATTTTCAGGGTCCTAAGAATTAAACACACAGGCCCAGCCAACATCCTGCCCTTCTCACTTCACTCCTTTCATACATTATTTTATCTGTTCATACAGCTTTTAACAGGTTATCATTAAAATATTGGGCAAACCAGTATAACTGGAATGTCTCTGCACTGGAACCCAGAATGGCAGAGAAATAAAGGCAGACCCACAAAAAAAATGGAAAAGGGAACTAGAGGAGAATTGAGTTAAAAAGATATGAAGAGCATGGGAGGTGAGTTGCCAGCAACAGCAAAGAATGGAACCACTTTGATTGAGGTGGTTGAGGACCTATACTCTGTTATGCGATTAAGGACATAAGAAGAAAAAAGTCCTGGTTGTTCATCCATTTCTAGACTTTGCCTTTGTTCAAGGACCGGAACTTTGCATGTGCACCCATTTTAGGGATCTGGCTTAATTGTTTGCAAATTAGGGTTCCTTGCCCCTTTGGCAAATGCACTGTGACTTTGAAAGAATCCCTAATTAGTCGACTCCTACAAAATGCTTGTTAGGGAGGCCAGGGATCTATTCTTGTTTTCTTCTATAATGGGTCTCCTGATTCCGCATGGTGGACTAATGCTGGGTTAAAATCTGCATTGGGCAGAATTTTTTTCAAGCATGACTTTAGCTTCCTGGTGGACCCAGCCTTAAATGGGTACCAGGCAAAGTCCTGTGAAGTAAAGGTGGCCGGCATGATGTTGACTACATCACTCATCGAGAGCCAAATGAAAAAATGGATGAGTCAATAACTGACGTCACTGCACTCAGGGCATTTCCACATGTGCTCCATCTCCTTCCTCAGCAGCCAACAAAGAGTTGACATGCTGATATTACCAGTTGCAGCCTGATTAAATGTCCGCCTAGTTTACCCCTCAGCGTTGAATATCTTCCAGAACCTCTGCTTGATTCCTGTTGAATTTGTCTTTCAATGTACAGACTCTCTGTCTGTTCTATTGCACTGACCATTTGATTGCAGAGAGTCTTCACAACTGGCATGTTTACGGCCCTCTACTTTACTTACTAGGCTAGCAGGGTTTGATTTTTTTTTAAAGTGTGTAAGTGGGACATAGATGATACACGTATTGAGATGGACTCGTGGGAACAAAATGCCATGGAGTATGTTGTCTTGAAAAAGGGGGGGGGGGGGGGGTCAGGAAGGGAATGAGAATGAAGGAAGAAATGATTGCAGAAAGGATGAGAGCTGAGCATCTGAGAAGAAAAACACTAAACACAAATGGGCTGTGAGTCCTATGCCTCCTCATAGCGCAGTATAACTCTGTCATCTGGAAAGAAATGAAGTTGTCGATCAATCAAGTTAATCAGGGTTTACTTTCTGGATAATAATGAGACTTCTGTGCCAAAAGCATAAAATACTCTGTGGTTTAGACATGAACACAGCAGCACAGAACACAGCATAATGTCATCATAACAGTATAATTAGTGATACATTTCTAGATGAAAATGTATTCAGATCAGTGGTAATATATCTTCTTCACCATTTTAAGGCTTTGAGGCTGTTATCACCCACCTCCATTTACCTCTCTGATTAGCCTTCCATTTTCATTTGATGTCTCCAAGTATTTGCTTGTTCTGCCTCATAGTCTGTTCCCATTCAGCTCTCCTGTGTATGCATTTTTAATCTCTCTGTTATCTGACATTCTTTCTATATGCCCCAACCATCACAATTTGTTAGCCCTCAGTGATAAATATCTGCCGTGTCTTATTCTCATGAAAACAATATTGCTATCTCCACAGCTCAGTGGAACCATGTTGATGACCTGGACAAGTTCTTCACTAGTGTTTATGAGTATCACCAGCGACATGGCTTTGAGACCATGGTGTTGGCAGAGATTTTGCAACTTCTGTAAGACACTGATTTAAGATTTTTGAATGATTACTAGTTTAGACAATATTTTAGGCCTCTAACACTGTAAAGCATATAATTTGCATCACCATCCACTACTTATCCCTGCATCCCTGAGAAGCTGCTAAATCAGCACTGGTACTTTGGGCTGTCCCTGCTTAGCATTGTTAATGATATTGGTTCTGTTTGTGCATGCACAGTATTTAGGATCCCTGGATATGAGTATATTTACTAAAAATAGCCTTCATCTTATGATTTTTTTTGTTTTTAAGGCTCATTCTGACCCAGGCGACATGATTATCTATACAGACAGCTCCATTTTAAGAGGCAGAAGATCTGCATATGGTTCATAGCTAAAGCAAAGGAATTTCACTTAATGCAACTAAGTCTGGCATCATCATCATCAGGTGCCTTGCTGGCGTGGGCGATCATGCCTCTCCACAATCTGCAATCTCCTGCAGCATGTATCAGTTTGTGTGCGGACACACCTCCATGTCATGCAACAAGACTGTCAAGAATCTTCTCTCGTTGTCTTCCTCTATCCCTCCTTCCACAGATCATTCCTGTGGTCACAGCATGTTCTATTTTCCCTCTTCTCATAACATGGCAGAAAAATGATGACTGTCTCTTTCTGATGTCTGTGATTAGTTGTCTTTGGGCTCCCACCTCTTTCAAAACCTCTTGGTTGCTCTTTTTGGCTGTGCAAGGTATTCTAAGCATTCCTCAGTAAAACCACATCTCTGAGGCCTCAAGAAATTGTTTGGCCTGCCTACGATTGTCCAGGATTCACAGCCATATGTTAAAACTAGATGTATGTAGCAAGCACAAATTCTAACACTCAATGGCAAAGATATATTGCACAAGATGTTCTTCATTTTATAAAATGCAGTTTTTGCCTGTCTAATTCTGTTTCTTATTTCAGTTATGCATCTTTCATCTGATGTTATCCATGTGCCCAGATACCTAAATTTCTGTACTTGTCCCAAAATAACACCATTGACTTTTATTACACATTTAGGAATAATTATTTTCTTTGATACCACCATTACTTCTGTCTTCCCATTATTCAAACTGAGGCCCATTCTTCCACTTTATAACACCACAATGTCTATCGTTTCCTGTAGTTCTTCTGACTTGTTGCTATCAAGACTGTGTCATCAGCATAACGTAAATTGTTTATATTGTGCCCACCAACTACAATTCCGGGCATTTCAATTAAAGATGTCATTATATATTCACTGTATATTAAAAACAAATCAGGTGACAGTACACATCCTTGTCGTACGCCCCTCTTTATGCTTTGAAATGTACCTAAACAGTTGTTAATTCTTATAGCTGCTGTTTGCTGCCAATACATATTCTTTATTATTTGTAGATCTTTTCCAACAATGTTTAATTTTTCTAACAGTTTGATTACTTCTTCATGCTTCACAGTCAGATGCTTTTGTATAGTCTGTGAAGCATAAGTACAAATCAGTCTTTACTTCTATAGCTTTTTCTGACATTGTCCTTAGGATGTATATGGCATTGTTTGTACCTTTCCTTCTACAAATCTACATTGTTCATCGCTGACTTCTGGTTTAATTTTGTTTCTTATTCTTCTCATAATTGTTCTAAGTAAAATCTTAGTCAAGTGACTCATAAGACTTATTGTGCGATGGTCTTCACATTTTAAAGTGCCTGGTTTCTTTGGCAGCGCTATAATATGGATTTTAAGTCGGACATATGATACCTTCATATCCAGTTTGAGAATTGAGGTGGAGGCAGTCACTGCTGCCTTCCATTGACTTGATGTTGTTATTGTAATTGACTCACAGAGCATGTTGAGAAAGGTGAAGAAAGGGATGCTCTGTGCAAAGTGGCAAGCATCACTTAACAGGTCCCAAGTAGTTAGCATCTTTTGGAAATTTTCTGTCAGATATGCATCTGTGTTAGGAAATAAAAAGCAAGTCAGAATGTCTGGCTGTGAACTACATGTTGATATCTTCCATTTCAGGCTTTTGCGGTTTCAGGTACATTCACAGATGATGAAATTGTCAGCTTATACACACTGAGTGCAGATTCTTCTTCTTCAGGATCTGAGCTGTTGCTATAGATATCACCTGCCCCAATTCATCTCTGTGATTGGCCTCTCTTTCCAGATGGTGGCTCCAAATGTTTGTAGGTTTATCTGGATGTCATCTCGCCACAGTATTCTTGGTCTGCTATGTGGTTTACAGCCATTCAACTCCCTCGTATACACAGTTTTTGCTTCTCTGTCATCTATCGTTCTCTCTATATACCCCAGCCATTTCAGTCTTTTAGCCCTCATAATGCCAGTGATCAGTGGTGATTTAAACATTTTGAATTTTATTGTTGCTCCTTTTTCTCAATTCCTCTTCGTTTGCATCTTGGATTTGTCCAAAGTTTTGTGAAAGACTTGAAAAAATGTTTAATGAAGCTCCTTCTTTTAAAAAAATTAATTGTTGTACTCTGATTTAAGAGCATTACCAGCATTTTATATATTGTGATCTTGGTGTTGTGAGATTAAGCATTTGATTTCAGCAGATGTTTTAGGGCATAGCGAGTGTAGATTGATCAGTGAAAACACAGAAATCTTGCACTATATAAAAAATATTCCTAACAGTGTGGTGAGGCTTTATAATTGTCATTGCTTATACTCAAACAAAATAAAAATGCATGCTGCATGTTCATTACATATATAAATATCCTTTCACTGAGAATTACTCCGAATGTATCATCTTTGTTTACACATTTCTTTTCTGCTGTTGGAATTTTCAGGCAATTTGTCTTCATTGTCCTTTTTGTGACCTACCTCAACTGGTGTGTCAATTATGAGGAGCTCTTCAACAATGTTCATCACAATAGCACAAAGGAGAAGATCACTTTTGATGATGTTACCTACCCGCTTGGTACATGTGTAGCAAGGTTAGAAGATGTATTTCTTTCCAACATGTCATTAGTTTCTTTAATTCAGAGGCTTTCCATTTGTTGTTATAATAAAACATTGGCTCTCCTGTAAACTACGGTCGGTAGACAACAGGTGACGGCCGGTTAGTCGGAGTTCTGTCCCCTGTCTGCAGTGCAATTACGGACTGGAGAGGGCACGAATCAAAAAACAAAGTGAGGTCGAAATGCCTGGCAGAACCCGCGCTGCGACTCAAGTTAGCGACCGCCTTCAATTACCGCTTCTTGCGACACATTACGGAGTGAATTAGAGGGAAGGAAACAAGTGACATAATTACTGTGTGTTGGCGATAGACAGCGTGCAGTGCCCTACTGTCATCATACGGTTAGGGTTTGGGTTAGGGTTAGGTTTAGGGTTAGGGTGTGAGTTAGGGTTTGGGTTGCTACGTTGAGTTTCTGCAAAGACAAGATGCAGCGACACTAACCGCAACGCTAACCCTAACACTAACCCAAACCCTAACTCTAACCCAAACCCAAACCGTAACCGCATGATTATAGCAGGGCAGTGCACTCTGTCTATCGCCAACACACAGTAATTGTGTCAATTGTTTCCTTCTCTCATTTTCCACTCCGTAATTGCACTGTAGCCAAAAAACAGAACTGCGACTAACCGGTCGTCTACTGTTGTCTCATCCGGCCATAGCTGACAGGAGAGCCAAAAAATTTAATCTCTGACAGTTGTGTGACCACCGGAAATAATTAATAGCCAGAAAAATCTGTGAACTGCAAGGGCTGTAACTAAAAATTATAAGTAAAATTGTGTTGGATGTTATGTCCTTAAGGCTGAATAGGAGAAAATGATAGCCATAAAGAGAACTGATTACCCACCTGAGGTGGAGATAATCTACCTTCTCTAGTTACATGGAGGGGAGAATGAGTGTGTCATGATAATCAGTAAATAAGAGGAGAAGAGAGGCAGAGGGAGAATAGTGAAAGTGCTGGACAATTTGGTATCTTGGCACAAAGGAACATCTGTATCTGACATTGTCAAAAGTATCCAAGACAGAAGGCTGTGGACTGACATGACTGCCAACGTCACACAACATGGACTGTAAGAAGAAGTGGATGGATTATTTAGAGAAGTCTATTGACAGTTTATTCGTGAGATATTCAATACCTTCATCTGTTTGCTTAAAAAACTATTGTAAGTTTAGTCTTCATTTTGTCAGTTAGTTTGTCAGTTTTAAAGTTATGAGTTAACACCAACAATGATGTGTTAAATTTGCTCCACAACACTGCACAATGCAACAACTTCATGCAGGACTCCACACAGACTGTTGTGTTCTTAATTTCCTTCAGAGCAATATCATTTTTAAATTCCTGTCTTCAAACACTGGTGTTTCCACCTTCTAGTCAGAGTTATGTTTTTTTTTTCTCTCAAAACAACGGTTGCCTTGTTGAATTGTTGTTTAAAGCTAGGCAGTGATATCTGCCTTTCAGCCAACACAAAACCCTTAATTAGCCGCCATTTGTAACATGCTTGTTAAGAGTGAAGAGTGTCTATTTTTTCTTTTCTGAAAGTCATACAGGGAAGTCAAGAGTTTACAAATATGTATTTGAACATTTTTCAACTCTAGTTCTTTCTGAACATCAAGGAAGATTGGCTAATAAACAGCATCCTTTCTCAAAAGCTGAAATATTTTGGTCATATCAAGCGTTACAACAGATTGGAAAAAAAATTATAGCGGAAGGCATGGTACCAGGAAGGAGGGGCAGGGGCAGACCGACACGAAGATGGGTACAGGTTATAAGTGACTCCTTGAGTGTGAAAGTGCATGAGGCGGGAGAACTGGCAAGAGACCAAGTTTCTTTCAGGCAGACTGTGATGAGAGTGACGTTCTGCAAAGGACCTGCTACATAATGATGATGGGTTCTTTCTTTCTTTCTTTTTCTTTCTTTCTTTCTTTCTTTCTTTCTTTCTTTCTTTCTTTCTTTCTTTCTTTCTTTCTTTCTTTCTTTCTTTCTTTCTTTCTTTCTTTCTTTCTTTCTTTTTTTCTTTCTTTCTTTCTTTTTTTCTTTCTTTCTTTCTTTCTTTCTTTCTTTCTTTCTTTCTTTCTTTCTTTCTTTCTTTCTTTCTTTCTTTCTTTCTTTCTTTCTTTCTTTCTTTCTTTCTTTATTTATTTCTTTCTTTATTTATTTATTTATGTGTCTGTCTGTCTGTCTTTTTCTTTCTTTCTTTCTTTCTTTTTCTTTCTTTCTTTTTTATTCCTGCTCCATATCTTAATTCATAAATTATATACTATTACCATTGATTTTACCAAATACACAGTGACTGGTGTTCTGATCCTCATATCTGAGCCCTCTGTAGTTATGCATCTTGATCATGATAATGGTTGTTTTTGTTTTCTTACTTAACCTTTACAACTCTGTGAAGCTAATTAATATTTCAGCTATGTATCTTATTTCATCTTTAGTTCCTCTTTTACCAGTTTGGGGTTTCAAGGAAGACACACGATTTTGGCTCTTGGTATTTTTTCTGCCTCTTGTGTGGACACTTAATACTGGTGCAGAGTTTTTCTGATGATACTTTTTTTTATGTTATCTTTCCACCTTGTTCTTGGTCTACTTTGAGCTGCATTTCCCCATTTATTTCCCACGCTATGTTATGGAATTACAAGGTAATCTCTCCAAGTTGACAAACTCAGCCATATATATTATCTTAAAATGTATGGATATTAATGAAAAGGATGTTCAAGAATTTGATCAACCACATCAATACAGGTTCAACTTTGTCACCTGGTTTCTGTTGTTCTTGTGTTTGCTGGTGTTCATCGGCAAGAGCATCAAGATGATTATCAACTTCAGCAACTACTTGCGAACACGCAACTTCTTCATTGGTGCTCTCAACATTGACACAGTGAGTTGATTGTTCTTGTATTGATCTTTTGCTTATTTAAAAGTAAAAGTAAAGGCGGTACTCTGTGGGTGATGTGGTCAGCATCACACAGGCCGCCTTTACTTCCTAGTACATCACCTAGTACCCATTTATGGCTAGGTCGACCTGAGAACTGCAGCGACTCTCTCAGGCTCTAGTTGCATGCAGCCTTCTCAGGCACACTGACAGAAAGTTCAACATGAAAAAAGGAAATTTGGAAATGCCACAGAACTTATCGATACAAAATGTTGATTGATTCCAACAACTATTTCCTCCATCACTACTTCCTGTACCAGATGCTTCCAGCTTAGATGCAAGATGTCAGTTTGTTATGCATTGTCATTTAGTTAATGTTCTGTTAGATTCAAACATTATGACCTGTGCAGTTAATATTTCAGGACCAACTATTGTGAATATTACTGAAAGATTTTAGACTTTATCTAAACATGGTTAAAAAAATTATCCAGCTAGATTAAAGAACAGACGTAGAAAGCATAGAGACTGAGTTATACCTTGTAATGATAATAAGAACGAGTAATTTCTTATTGCCTGATATGGCAGTGGCAAGCATCCCATGATACTAAGAGTTGCCCCCAAAAAATAAAAACTGGTTGAGTAGCTCTGACCATTATACAGTGACAGAGGAACAAGATATTGTGAGTGACCCTCAGTTATGCATCTCTGACTGAACACATTTCTAGTCTAACTGTAATAAACTGTTTATATTTTTATCTATGTAAATATTTTTTTTCAATTGGTTACATAATTGGTAGAATAAATTTAAATCAAGTCTTTCCTCATTCACAAGACACCCCCCCCCCCCCCCAATCCATATGGAGCACTAAAATGTAGACAAAGTCCATGATACATGGTAACATCTTTTACTGACATTTTATACAACTACAACATTTTATGGCTTTTATGATTGTTTCTACAGAAAGACCTCAGCAACATGACCTGGCATGAGGTTCAGCTTCGTCTTTTAGAGGTTCAGAAAGAGCAACAGATATGTATCCACAAACAGGAGCTGACACAGTTAGGTAGGAAAAACATCACCAGCAGTAGTTTTTACATAATGCCAGGACATGAATGGTGTTTTGATTGTGTGTCAGACACACTCGGGCAAGAAACTATCACCTGCTACTAAGTGGAGTGCTTGGTGCGTCACTGTGAAATGTGAATTTCCTGTGGAATGGTTTTGTTTGTTTGTCCAAAAGCATTTTTTTGATTGCATGAAAATGGTGGGTCATTGATTACATTCAGAATGGCGTGTACTTTTGGGGTGAATTGCCAGCTTTTCTGATTGATCATTTGCGCCAACAGTGAGCTGCAGTTCTGAAGTGGGACCATAAGTATTGGCACATCTGACAACTTCCTTATGCAGTATTACTTAGCATATGCAAGCTTCAAGATTTTGCTGGAGCTGACAAGTTTTTTAAAACAAATTTTCAAATGAGACAGTGAAGGACATTTTGTGTGATTTCCACCGACACAGGAATGGAGGAGTTATGGAGCCACCTGTCTACAGGGATGTTGAACCTCGAGTGATTAATGACTAACGACTCAGTAACCATCACTCTAAACCTACTTTACTGGTACCTATAAGGGAAGTGTAGAATAGAAATGCTATAGCTTTCATGCCTGTCACAAGGGGCAGCTTAGGAGGGTTAATGCAATATTGCTGACCCCATTGAAAATTTTTCTTGTGTGGGTCCATAGCCCCCCTGGGATGGGAAAGGGGTGGGGGATGGGGTAGATCCACCGCATCACCCACTCCTTGCTGTCCCCTCCGCCCCCAAAAGGTGTGAGGGTTTGGTAAAATCAAATGTATTGTCCCAAAAGGCACATATATTGCAGCTTAGCTGTAAACCACAACACAATGTGCCAGCTGCCCTTTTGAGGGTGAAAGAAGAAGAGCTACCATACTGGTAAGTGTAGTCAGTTATGATTTACCATCTCACCTGAGAGCGCGTGTGAACAAGCTATCCTGGTTTGATCTGTGTGTCTTCCTCTTGCTCTTTTTTCATCAAGCTGGCCACCTGTAGCAAGTTTTCAAGTTTTTCCCCCCTCTCACTTGTCCCAAAAGAATATACCAGCATTCCACTTATGGAATGTTCTACATTTCTTGATATATTTAACCATCTTTTAATATATATATATATATATATATATATAGTCATGTTTTCTTCCCAGTATTCTAGTGGAAGGTTAGGGTTTCAACCCCCCAGTGACAGACTGGATAGGATATCAAATGAAGTAGATGTAAAATCTGATTCTACGAGGAATGCTTATTGTCTGAGATGTGTCTTGTAAACAGCATGTTCAGAAAGTGGCAAGTGATTAGTTGCCATGGAAATTGCAATGTGCCTTATGCAGTAATGCGTGTGCACCTGCTGTTTGTCGTGACTATCTGCTTCCCTCAGCTGTGAATTGCAGTTATAGTTATAGACTGTTTTTTACTTTTGGTGGCTGCCTTATGAATCTTATGTGTGTGTGAGCTGTTAGAGTTTGCAGGGACAGCTGTCTGCTTGATTTTTAGCTTGGGACAGAGGTGGGCATTTTATGGGTTTTTCACTGGCACAAGAACGGGGCATTATGGAATGATCTGTTAGCGATAAAGTTGGTACCCTGAGTCTGAGAATGAGAAGCAGCCACTGGGGTTGATGTATATATATATGTATGGATCCTGGGCTCACATTGTGAAAATGTTCATAATTTATTTAGAATCAATAAATGTTTTTGTATAAAAAAAATACTCCTTCATACTCCTATTCTGCATTAATTTATGATACATTGTATTTGCAGATATATATCACCGGATTTTACGGTTCAAGAATTATTTAGTTGCCATGGTCAACAAGGATGTCCTGCCACTAAAGTTCAAACTGCCTTGTATAGGACAGCAGTGAGTTTCACAGTAGAAATATGTACCTGTGTTAAACTAATATTTTTATGGTGTTCTAGAAAACAAATATATGTATGTTTATGGTGTATGTTTTGGTAATTGTATAGTAAAAATAGTATTTGATACCTTTGCTGCAAAGAATGGGTAATATGTCCATGTGTTTAGTTTCCTTTATTTTTACAAGCTAGATAGGACGAACGAATGAACAAACAAACTTTATTTTCAAAGGGTTACAAATTGGGCACGCAGGCCCTTCTGACTTCCGGCAGGACAAGGAATGAAGATATTTATTTTAGAAGTCAGAAGTCATTTTGTTTACTGTGTGACATCAGTATGTTCATTCTTTTCGTCTGTCAATGTTTTGTAAGTGACTCCCCCATTTTGGGGCTGATGTCTATGATATCGAGGAGCTAATGGTTGATTGGTTAAGATTGTAAAGCTGTCTCGCGGGAGACCCAGATTCAAACCCTTGGTAAGGTTATTGATATATTTCTGTAAATAAAATGCTAACTGCACAGTCAGAGGTGACAGCACTAGCCATGTGGACCCAAATCCTCAGGCTCAGAGACCTCCCGCCTGCACTGGAAATGTGGTAAACACAGGCAGTAATGGCATTCTAGGATATTTCTACATATTGTGCTACTTGTTGATAAAGACGTTAGTTGAAAGAAACATTTCCAATGTTTCTGTTCACTGCATTCCCCCCTCCCCGATCCCCCCTACCTTTTCAGTTGAGCTACATAATCAAAGCTTGTATAGAGTGAATGTATTTCTTAGATTTGCCTTGGTAGTGATTTCCCTTGAACTTATTAGCTTTAGTAGGAGTTGAGGAGGCAATTAAAAAAAAAGGCATTTTATGAATTGGATTTAAGTGAGGAAGCGTTCATTGACATCACTAAAAAAATTGATATATTCATCCTTGATATCAAGAGGGCTGCACAAAAATACTGACAGGTTACATGACAGTAGCATGGTTATTGTAATTTCTGACACATTTAGGGTTTTATTTGAAACTCCTCATAACGATACAACAAGATGGTGATGTTAAGACAGAAGGTTAACACCAGAAACTGGGATCTGGATCTGTGTGTGTGTGTGTGTGTGTGTGTGTGTGTATATACATATATTTTGTTTTTTAAATCAATATTGAAGTCTTTTTAACCAGTGATTTTCTCAATGTGGGTTCCAGGCGCCATAGTGGGGAAAACAAGAACAGACCCACTGCCTCCCCAACAAGCGTGTCACAAGAGTTGACTAATTGGGAGGTTTCCTTCGAAGTCAGAGTACATCTGTCTGAGAGGCAAGAAACCAGCAGCCTGCATACATAAAAGTCAGATCTGTAAAATGGGTGTGCATGGAACACTCAGGTTCTGGAACAAGTCTAAAGTTCAGAGGGGATGAACAGTCATATAACTTGTCGCCAGAGTTTACAGCCAGTGAACTTAAAGAAGAAGAACTGGTGATTTCTTGCCTTTGCAATTTCCACGTGTGGGTCCCGGGACTTTATTTTGTGGGGAAAAAGAAACAGACCTGCTGCTTCTTAACAGGAATGTCATAGAAGGTGACTAATTAATGTTTGTTGAAATGGGATGTGTTGGTTCCAAAAGGCGGATTTATCGCAACATAGCTGTAAACCGCAACACAATTTAAAAGTGAATGTAATAGAAGAAATAAGAAGAAGACAAATTTTCAATTAGTGATCTCTTATCAGTTTGTTGTTCCTTGTCTTTTCATTAAATGGTGTGTTGTCTGTTTAGTTTAGGGTTTCTTGTATATTTTTATAAATGGTGTCTTGTCTTTATTAGTGGTTTTCTTGTAATCTTTCAGTTCAGTGTTTACTCACGGGATGCGTTTCAACCTGGACGTTATATTGTATTGTAAGTATTTGGATTTTTTTTTAAATGAACATATTTTTTCCTAGTCGGCTGTGTGGCTAAGTCGATGCGAACGCGTCCTAATGCCGGGTTCGATCCCAGCTGCTGGCCATGCGCCTTGCGTTGGTTTTGACAGTGGTATCAAGAAAGCCGACCGTCCGAAAAGCAATGGCAAACTACTGGACGTAAATTTGCCTAGAAAAACCACAAAACAGCCAGGGGCTGTTGGGGTTGGTTCTGCAACGTCCTGTAAAGGATATGCAACTAACCTAACCTATTTTTTTTCTCTCTATTTAGTCATTTACCTAATGTGTTTGTGCAGAACTCAATTTATAGAGGAAGCGTTTGACATTTTTGCTGTCACCCCTGGATATCAAGCAGCTTCTGTTTCACTACTCAAGTTGCTCAAGAAGTGGCTCAGATGTTTACATTCACAACCCGTCAACACAACATCAGTGCCCGTGTGTACCCATCCTTCACAAAGCCCTAGCTTCCTTAACTCTTTTACTACACATTGCAGTGACTTACGCTTACAACCGTCATATATCTGTGAGTAAAAAAATTATTGTTTTGATGACTCATATTTTTATGCTGTTATCTGCTCATAGGTTAACACTGTGACTGGTGGGAAAATTACAACCTTCGTAATTGCTATTAATAAAGTCGTTTTTCACAGGCAAACACCACAAAGTGCTGTTTTTAGTAACTGAAATGATTCCAGGTCTATCCTAAACGTGTACACTGGTGCAGTCGATAACTGCTATTTATTAAGCATCTTGTGATCAGGCTACTATTGCCAAGTGGAGCATTATTCTCTTGGGGGATTGTACCCTGCTGGAAGTGCTGGTTTGGTTTGGGGGTTTTAGGGACGACAGGGTGAAACCTGAAGAAGTGTAGCTCTCTCAGACCTGAAAAAGAGTAGATCTCTCAGACCCAAAGAAAATTAGATATCTCAGATCTGAAAAATAGATACCTCAAAACTGGTGCTTATAAGTTTAGATTTCTACCAAGGTGGATTTAAAAAAAAAAAAACAGGAAACAGGAAATTTGTCTCAGAAAGACGTTTTTCAAGTATTCAGTAAACCAAAATCATGATTCTGTAAACTATTATATTGAAATCTAACACTTCACACTTCAAACTCACACAGCTGTATCTACCACATGATTTCCTTTGCCTTTCTATGTTGTTGGGAGTTCCCATCGCAGAGTGGTCAAGCCTGTTATCACACACTCTGAAGGGCTTGAGCTATTTCACAGACTACATCATTCAGTTCACAAGTGCAGTTTTTTTGCTTTTATCTTCAAAGCTGGGGCTTTGTGCCTGTGGCTTTGTGAAATGCTTTTGGCAGAAAGGTAGCGGCCTGGTGAGTCATGTGGGATTCAGCCCACTGCAAAGTCAGTCCTCTGTTTTAAACATTAAACATTGTTGTGTTTTTCTTTTTTTAATACCTAGGGAGCCCGTGGTCGATTTTTATAAACAGCTACACAATGAGAGAAGAATACAAGAACCACCACAAAAGGAAGCAGTTAGCAGATCAGTGAGTATCACCAGTTTTTGTATGCTAGATGTTGAGAGGTGAATTAACATTGCCTGAAAGTCAGGGATATATATAGGATTGAGGAAATTCAGGCAGAAGTCTAGCAAAGGTCCCTGTCTTTCTTCTGCATAAATCTGGATAGAAGAGGTTTATTTTTGGGGCTTCCACATAGAGTTGCCTTCTGTGATTGGTCATAATACAGAATTCAAACCTACGTTTGCCCTGGTAAAACAGGCAGTTACTTTTCAATGTAGTTTTTCTTGTGTGAGTGTGTTTCACTCATAATTTGTTATTGATGTTTGTGTTGCTTTATGTTAATGCATTATTACTATATTATGTATCTGGCGAGATGCAGCAAGATATATCAGGCAATAAATTGTGCAGTCTGTTATTTCTGTCTTTTTTTTTCCAGATATATATTAATTATTTGTTTTCTTGTGAGATTGATACAGTGGTTAAAATCTTATAAACTGAAATTGTTTACTGACAGTTACTTGTGACCTTCTGTTTGTCTGTTTGTTTACTCCCATAAAGTGTTAAACAGAAGATAAATAGACATTAGACATTTAAATACCCTCCCCCCCCCCTTTCTCAAATATTATCCTTTTCAAATTGGTGTTTGTATTAGACACTAGTTATATTCAAACACCTTATGGTTAAGAAGTAACCTGCTGTTCTGTATGTCTAGAGTAAAATTAAAAACTAAAGGACCCTTTTCCACACCATCAGATGTATTGGGCATATAGGGCTAGACCTATATTTTTAAAGTCCAGTTGATGGGTGATGTGGTCAGCATTATGCTGGCCACCTTACTTCCACGTACATGACCTGGTACCCATTTAAACCTGGGTTAACCTGGGAGCCAAGGTCATTTTTAAAAAAATATAAAAAGTCTGGTTTCTTCTGGACTGGAACCCATGACCTTCAGACCCGCAGGCGATCATCTAGCAACACCATTACAGCTCCCTTGTGTATAGGGGATCAGTGGTTTTGTTTTTGTTTTTGCTGTATTTTTAAGTTTTGATTTTTTGTCAGGTTGATTATATTTCCTTCTTCTTCTTCTTCTTCTTCTTCTTCTTCTTCGCATTTACCGGCCATAAGCTCTTGAGGAAGGTTTTAGTTGTTCATCAACTTCTGGACTTTGGTCTTGTTCCAGAACTATATTTTGTGTGCACATCTGTTTTACAGATCGCGTTTATTTAAGCAAGCAGCCTGTTGATTGCTTAATTAAAAGACGCACACTAGGCAGGTGATTTATCAGCATTTAGACTGTAATGCCCATGAAAGAGCTGCTTTTCATCATCGAATTGTGACAGATGATAAGTCCTGAACCAAAGAGTAAGAGACAAAAGATGGAAGCAACTGGCATCACCGCCACCGAAAAAAATTCATGACGCAGCCTTCAGCCGGGAAGCTCATGCTGGCCATCTTTTGGGATGTCAGTGGCCCCATGTTGACACATTTCCAGGAAAAGAATAAAACTGTGACTGGTGCTCTGTACAGTGACATGTCAGCAAACAAGTTGAAGCTTGCGATCCGATTGAAATGTCAGGGTCTTCTCTCAAACAGAGTTTTGTTGCTGCATGATAATGCTCACTCCCACACGGCTGTGCATACAGTGGATGCACTACATACACTGCACTTTGAAGTATTGAACCAACCAGCATACAACCCAGACTCCGCACTCTTGAATTTTCCTTTGTTTGGCCCATTGATTGAACATTTGCGGGGTCACACTCAAAAGCTTTACCCGGCGGGCATCTACAGTCTTGTAGCTTGTGGATCGCTGGACTACATGTGCTGTAAGTCAGGGAGATTGTTAAGAAATAGGACACAAAACAATTTTATTCCGGTTGCTTGTTAAAAAAAAAAAATTGTGTCAGGACATATAGAGGAAATGAGCAAGCTGATAGACTTGCAGGTAAGGAAGGCTACTGTAAAAGCTGGACAAGCCATGGACCAGGCTGATATACTGAATGCTCTACGAGATTTAAGACGTTTGCGTGAACCAGCTGAGTAATGTGAATTTGCAACCATGGTCAGACTGCAAGAACAGCAAGTTAAACGGGGTGTTGCCAAACAAGAACACTACTCGGGTAGCCAAAGAATAATAATAAACCAACACAGAACTGGTGTCATTAGCCGCTACACACTGCAATATCTACGGGGGGGGGGGATCCAAGCACTTATGGGCTGAGCAGTTCGACGTGCAATGAGGATAATCTGTTGAGTAACTAATTTCCCTTCATGTTAAATTAAAAGAAAATATAGTAATTTAATTATATATTTAAATTTTTTGTTTCTAAATTTCAGGTTGTCCACACACATTGCTTTCCTGGCGCTTTTGAACTTGCTGCTGTCCCCCTTTATATTCATGTACCAGTTACTGTACTTCTTTTTCCGCTATGCAGATGTGAGTATGTTATTCCGATCTTATTACAGTGATACATAAACTCTAATAACAGTCACTGAAAGCATTAAAGCATCCTAAAGATTATAATAAATGTGCTGCAAAGAGAACTTTGTAGACATCTGTATAGATAACTAAAAAAAAGAGGCCTCTAGAAGGTGTGTAGATTGTAGTGTAATACAAAGATAAATCTGTAGAGGCTATGTAGATAATACAAAAAGTTTAGTCAAAGATACTAACCACAGATGGTAGTTTTTGTCAGCGATGCTCAAATATATCAGGCTTTCCACCCTTCAAGAGTTAAACCTTAGCTTCATTATAGATGCACTAGCAGTTGACAAATGTGAATACATTCATTAAAAGACAGTGAACTTAATTAAGTATACAGAACAATGACAGTGAGAAACTACTAAATATAAAATTGCCTGGTAAAACCATTTGTTCATCATCCTTTCTTCTTTTTCTTCTTTTCTCTACTCCTGGAATGCCTTGCGCCATGAGGGCAGGAAGAGATCTCTGGAACGAGTCCTTTTGTTTGCTTTGTATAAAGTGCTTTTCAGTGTCTCTAATATTTCTGCTGTTTATCTTGGGCATGGTCGACCGCTTGCTGTGTTACCATTGTATCTGTATAACATTGCTGTCTGTGTTGCCCTGTCTGATGCCAGTCTTGTTACCTCATCCTTTTATGCCATTTATTTACCACATAAAGGTCATGTCCTAGTGCTCCATTCCATTCTTCTCAACCTCATAAAAGGACTCCAGTCCAGCATCTTTGCCTCTCTGACAAACTTTCATTGTAGGGTTTCTCTTGGAAATCTTTATTTTCTCATTCCATTTGTTTCCCCTTTCACTGTCTGTTTGGTGATTCTCTGTCTGCTTCTAACCATGATGTGCCAAACATATCATAGCCATCGTTTTCTTATACATATTTATAACTGGTGATTGTCCAGATATTTCTGTTGTTGGTAAAACTACCAGTTATTACTGGAGTTGGTTTATGATGCTCCTGAAGAGAACTTGCAACTGACTGAATGAACAGGACAAATTAAAATAATTTGTTGGTGTTTTCTCTTGCCAGATCGTCAAGCGTTCACCAAGCTTTCTTGGCACAAGACAATGGTATGTACAACAGTATCTTAGAGATGTTTATAGCATATTAGATGTTTGCTGATTACAGGCTAAAGTTGGATGTTTGCTGATTTTTTATAGGCTAAGGTTAGATTGCTAATTATATGCCAAAGTTAGATGTTTGGTGATTATAGGGCAAAGTTAGATGTTTGCTGATAATAATTAGGCCAAAGCTGGGTATTTGCTGATTATAGGCCAAAGTTTGATGTTTGCTGATTATAGGCCAAAGTTTGATGTTTGCTGATTATAGGCCAAAGTTGGATGTTTGCTGATTATAGGCCAAAATTGGATGATTATTGAGTTGGTGAATTGTTTCATCAGTCCTCCTTTCGAACAACGTAGAGGGAATTGGAAATTTAATATTTTCTGTCCAAAAGCACAGTGAAGATCAAAATCTGTTCTTGAATTTAAAGAAAACGAAAATGATGTCCACAGATAAAACTGGCTGTCACCCAAAAATAACAATAAATGATGAAGAAATTGAAAATGTCACAAACTTTGAATATCTAGGCTCTATAATAAACAACAGTGGAGACTGTTCGACAGAAATTAAAAGGAGGATGGCCTTAGCAATGCAAAGATTGAGCAGCCTTAAAAGTCTATGGTTAAGCACCAGCAAAATTAGAATTTTGAGAGCATGCATCTTCCCTGTGGCTAAATACGGATGTGAGTCGTGGACTATCTCTCAGTCCTTGAGAAAGAGAATAGGGGCTTTTGAGCTGAAATGTTATAGAAAGATTCTCAGAATATCTTGGACAAAGAAGATGAGAAATATTGACATCTTAAAAGATCAAAACATCAAGAAAGATTGGCTAATAAACACCATCCTTTCTTGAAAGCTGAAATATTTTGGTCATATCAAGCGCCAAGACGGATTGGAAAAAATTATAGCAGAAGGCATGGTACCAGGAAGGAGGGGCAGGGGCCGGCCGACACAAAGATGGGCACAGGATGTAAGTTACTCCTTGAATGTGAAAATGCACGAGGCGGGAGAACTGGCGAGAGACAGAGTTTCTTTCAGGCAGACTGTGATGAGAGCGACGTTCTGCAAAGGACCTGCTACATGATGATGATGGATTGTTTCACACTAGTAAACAGTTTGATTGTATGGTTGGTGATTGTTGACCTAAATTAGATGTTTCAAATTATTTGTTGAAATGAGATGTTTGCTGACTACTTACTCAGATTTTATCTTTGCTACACTAGCTGAATTAATTTACTAATATAATATGATAATTTACAATAATATCACTTGTTCTTACCAAGGGCAAACTATGGACGGCTGTATCTCAGGCACTTTAATGAATTGGATCATGAACTTAATGCAAGGTAAGAAATACAGTTTGGCAGCATTTTATAATTTAGAGTGCTGTTTTTATTAATAAGCTCTCTTTTTCTTTGATGATTATTTTTATTTTACCCACGCAGTGTAGTGAGTGAAGGAGACAGTAGTAAGTCAGGGACAGAGTCAAGAAGAGATTAACTTGGTTTCCCTCCAAAGCCTAAATCTAGTCACTTCCTGTTGTGTCACAGTCCCGTAAATGCTAGTATATGGCCATATCTGCACTGACCTGTTCTTGAAAAGTACACTTAAATTCCATTGGTCCTGTGTGCACCTGCACAGTGCTTTATAGGCCAGGATAGAATATAGTAACTAAGAATAGCTTTTAGTGGGGCTTCCTTATGACCCCAGTGGCTTTTTGAAAGCCAGGTTAAGATTTTCCTCATAAGCCTCAATAATAGAGGTCACGGGTTCACAGCACGAGTCACTTCATATATATTAGGTTTTTTAAAATGTCCTAGAAATGTTTTCCATTTAATGCTTTGCTCTTCATGTTTATTAATTGTGTGTTTGTGTGTGTGTGTGCATGCATGCATATGTGTGTGTGTGTATATATACGTGTGTATATATTAAAAAAACATAGAGATAAACACATTTATTTAACATTTATTAATGACCCATGAAATATGATTTTTTTTTAAAAGACTTTTTCCTGAAATTCCTATGGGTTCATGACCAGTTTTATTTGGCCTTTATGTGGTGAAATGGTTACTACATAAAAATGAGAAAACAGTAAGTGATGGATAGAGCATTTAGTGAAAGTTGTAAGTGCAGGAGAGATTAGTATTCGAAAGAGGTGTTATTATGTGACAGTATCCATCAAGGCATAGAAGTATGCCTTTAGTTACTCAACTGAAGTGGAAGACAAGACTTTAGCTCCAGTATTTGATGCCAGCTGCAAGGGGGGTCAAGGAAGCAGTGTTTAGTTCTAGACCAGGGAATTTAAAGTTACAGTCAAATTTGGCCCTAATAACTTCTAGACTTTGGGGAATTTGTAAAATTACATTTAAATTTCAACATTAACTGTCTGTAGGAATTTTAATTACTGTTTTTAACTCCTTCAATACCAGTCAAATCACCAAATATTTATTGTAATAACCTAGTATGTTACCCTTTTTTGAGCACCATGTGCCATACCCAGATGTGTCTTTAACATATATTATCCCGATTCTTACTTCATGACCTTTTCTCTTAATGTATTATCATTTAAACATTTTCATACCAGTACCCTGTTCGTTCAGGTACCTACTGCTTAGGAAGTTAGTTGTTGAATAGAATAAACACATGTATTGGACTGAAAAAGTTGAATGAGATGGATTTTCTTTTTTGATTACTTGTAGAGTGTTTATTTGTCATTCTTACTTTCATTTCAGATTAAGTCGAGCCTACATGCCTTCAAAGATGTACATGAACAGCTTCACTTCTGCCTCACTAACTGTTGTAGCTAAGTAAGTCTTGTCTCTCAGTAAGATTTCACATCTTCATTATCACAATATTTAATAGAAAGGGTCTCTAATTCCTTGAGTGGTCAGGCCATTTAGCTCATACTCCGAAGGTTATGGGTTGCAGTTCACAACTGTAATTTTTATAGGGATCACAAACTCGCCATCGGCTGTGATTCCAGTGCCTCCCTACATCTCAGTATAGCGCTCGCTGGAAATTCAAAAAGATGGCTGCAACCGCCAACTTTTGGGGATCATTGCTGGAGCTATGTAGTTTGTGCTGTGTTCGACACTCTCATCAAGCAGCGAGCAATTCTGTGGAGAGAGTCTGGGCCATATGGGCTAACCCAGAGCAATCATGCCCATCCTCTTAACCTTAAATATTACTTCCAGAATATCTTCTAATGGTTAAATCCGTAAGGTTAAATAAGTTCCAGAGATGTGCCATCAAGAAAAATCCCACTTGGAGGAAACTTGAACATAACTGGCTAAGTTTCCTAGAATGTGAATTAATTTCTCCATATTTGAGACCTCATAAAAATTTACAAGAAGCTCACAACATCCAGGTTAAGAATGGAGGTGGAGGTGGTCACTGCAACTCTCCGCTGGTTAGAACACACACGCACACCCACACACACACACACACACGCACATGTGATTGAAACTGACACAGCAAGCATGCTGAGGAAGATCAGGACAGGCATGCTTCGTGCAGAGTGGCATGCTTCACTGCGGAGGACATGGGGTGAGGAGTATTGTCTGGATTTTTTCACCAGGAAACACCAGTGTGTTGGGAAATGAACAGGTTGACAGACTGGCTGGCTCTGCACAACTTGGTGATTTAGGGGCAGCATCCCTGAAATATGATTTTTGTGAATGTTTAGCCTTACTGAAAACTGGTGAAAAACCAGGCACTAACTGACATTGTTTTCTTGTCTCCTTAGGTACACAGCCTTCTTTGCTTGTGCTCCAGCAGCTGTCCTGTTTGTATTGGGTATTTTAGATTTCCGAGATGTGACCAGAGTAGAGCATTTGGTTACTGTTGCCTCCATCTGTGGTGAGTTGGATCTGTCATTGTAATGGTTCTGTCCCGGGTGGTCAGTAAAGTAAAAGGACCCTTTTCCACGTCTTCAGGCATATTAGGCATATAGGGTTAGACCTATATTTTTTAGACCAAACAGCACTCTGTGGGTGATGTGGTCAGCGTCACACCGGCTGCCCTTACTTCCCAGGACTGCATCTGATACCCACCCAAGGCTGTATTGACCTGGGAGCCATGGTTTGTGTGTGCGTGAGAGTGAGTGAGTGAGAGAGAGAGTGTGTATGTGTGAGTGAGTGAGTGAAGATTCTGGCTCCATCAGGACTGGAACCCACAACCTTCCGATCCGCAGATGAGCTTCTAGCTGCTACACCACAGTGACTTCCCCAGAATAAATTACAGCCAGAGACTAACCACGTAGAAGATGGACCTTGGAAATATCAGAGTCACTGAAAAGTACTTTATACAAAGTGAACAGAAGGGCCTGTTCCAGAGATGTCTTCCTGTCCAGACACTGCGAGGCATTCCAGGAGTGGAGAAGAAGAAGATTTACAGTTTGGGATATGATGAATTACAAAGCATCTGAAAATGGGTTCTCCATAGGGGAGTGGTCAGGTCGTTGGACTCAATCTCTGAAAGTGGTGGGTGTTTTTTCACGGCTGCGACATTCAGTTCATGAGTGAAATTCTACTGAGATACCTGGGGATGTTGCCGGTGATATGGAGTTTGTGTTTTGCGTGATGTTTAGGCCAGCTGTCTTGCCTGGAACTGAGTCAAATTGGATGAAACCCAGTGCTGTGAAATTTATCATCTCACCTTTAACCTTTAGTTAAAGAAGCAATGGAAATTGTGTGCCAAAATAATGGTCTTGGGTTTTGTAGAATTTGCACTAGTGTTTATCTCATATTGCTGTTCTCTCTCTGTCTGTCTCTCTCTCTCCCTCCCTCTCTCCCTCTCTTTTTCTTTCTTTCTCTCTTTCTTTCACTCTTTCTCCCTCCCTCTCTTTCTATCTTTCTCTTTCTTTCTCTCTCTCTTTCTTTCTCTCTTTCTTTCTCTTTCCCTTTCTTTCTCTCTCTGTCTCTCTCTTTCTCTCTCTCTGTCTCTTTCTCTCTCTCTCTCTCTCTCTCTCTCTCTCTCTCTCTCTCGCTGAAAGTGGCTAGCTACCTACTGAGAAGGCCACACAGAGCCTCACATTTGTAGCTTCTGCGATGATTTCCAATTATCCCTGTAACAACGGCAGTCCGGAAATGAATGACATGTCTTGGAATCAAACCCACAACCTACAGAGCTCGAGGCGGATGACTTGACCATTTTGTCACAGAGGCCTCTGTGGAATTGAGTATGTCAGATAAGTTTTCTTTCGTACAAGGCGACTAACTAATACAGGGTGTTTTCTTTAAAGTCTTAGTGCTTTCTACCTGAAAGGCAGGGAACCAACAGTCTGCATACAAATAAATAAGGTTTGTAAAATGAATGTGCACACAAACTTAAATTGTGGATCAAGACCAAAGTCCAGAAGTGGATGAACAAATATGACTTGCTGCCAGTTTACAGAAGAAGAAGAAGATCCGTTTTCAAACTTAGCGTCAACACTTGGCTACAAAATTTGACTTCGCTGGAATAAACATATTATTGTTTATTTTAATATCTAAGTATCACTAGGTCAACTGATGAAAATCCTTGGGCACCAAACTCAGCTGAGAAAAAGAGCGCATACAAAATATTTTTTTAAAACACTTACACTAGCATGCATGAAAATGTCACAGTTTGGCTAAGCTGAAAAAATTTTGTTGAGAATACTGAACATGATAGGTGACTTTACCACTAGTCTGACAAACCTGATGGGGGTACCACCAGTCTGACTAAGCTGATAGGGGTACCACCAGTCTGACAAACCTGATGGGGGTACCACCAGTCTGACAAACCTGATGGGGGTACCACCAGTATAACAAACCTGATGGGGGTACCACCAGTCTGACAAACTGATGGGGGTACCATCAGTCTGACAAACCTGATGGGTTTACCACCAGTCTGACTAAGCTGATGGGGGTACCACCAGTCTGACAAACCTGATGGGGGTACCACCAGTCTGACAAACCTGATGGGGGTACCACCAGTATAACAAACCTGATGGGGGTACCACCAGTCTGACAAACTGATGGGGGTACCATCAGTCTGACAAACCTGATGGGTTTACCACCAGTTTGACTAAGCTGATGGGGGTACCACCAGTCTAAGCTGATAGGGGTACCACTAGTCTGACAAACATGATGGGGGTACCACCAGTCTGACAAACCAGATGGGAGTACCACCAGTCTGACAAACCTGATGGGGGTACCACCAGTCTGACAAACGTAATGGGGGTACCACCAGTCTGACAAACCTAATGGGGGTACCACCAGTCTGACAAACCTAATGGGGATACCATCAGTCTGACAAACCTAATGGGGGTTCCACCAGTCTGACAAACCTGATGGGGGTACCACCAGTCTGACAAACCTGATAGGGGTACCACCAGTCTGACAAACCTGATGGGGGTACCACCAGTCTGACAAACCTGATGATGCTAGATTTGTATTCTTATAGACCAGTCAGCCCTTGGTGGGTGATGTGGTTGTCATCATTCCTTTGTTTCCAACGACATCACAACTACCCCTGTTAGGCTGGGTTGACATGGGACGCAGGGTCAGTTTTGAGAACAAAATTTGCCTAGCTTTTCATTCAAACTGAAGATTTTTGGATTGACAAAGGAGTATCTAGCCACTAGGGTAATATGCCTCCCTACATAATTTTATAAGTTTTTTTCTTTTTGAATATTTTCTATTACCTGTTAAGAGCAGTATTAACATTTTTAAATGGCAGTGACCATTTTTACTGCACCAGAATTCTGAACACTGGGAAACTAAAAATAAATATTGGAATTACCCCTGAAGAGCTTTACTAGTAAAATAGTAAAGGACCTTTTTCCACGCCTTCAGGCATATAGGGCTAGACCTATATTTTATTGAGCAGTTGGCACTTGGTGGGTGATGTGGTCACCATCACGCCAACCACCTTTACTTCCCAGGATTTTACCTGGTACCCATTTAAGGTTGGGTCAGCCTGGGAGCCAAGGTCATTTGAAAAACAAAAGTCTGTCTCCGTCAAACCAAGACCTTTGGATCTGTAGGCAAGCATCTAGCCACTGGACCATGGCAGCCCCCGAAGAGCTTTGCTAGCACAGTAGTTATTGTGCTTGCTTGGCAAGGCAGGGATCTGGGTTTGTGGTTACATTTTTTTTTGTTTTTAAATGTCTGTGGTGAAACTATTTAGTTATGATTTGATTTTTCTGTGCATCTCTTTCAGGAATTTTGGCTACAATCTGTTCTTCCTTTATTGCTGATGAGGCAAGTAATGTTGAAGTATTGTGTGTGTGAAATGATGTTATTTATATAATATATATTAATATTCTAGGCTTGTGTTCTCATTACTGTTTTTTGTGCTAGTGAAACTTTCGTCAGCTTTTTCAAACCAAGAGAAGCGGCTTAACAGCTGTCTTGTGTGATGCCTATGTACAGTGCTTGGCAGTGAGTGACAGGGCAAGATCACATAGACTGAGGTATCATAACATTCATATATATGTGGTGTAGCGGCTGGACACTCATCTGTGGATCTGAAGGCTATGAGTTCAAATCTAAAAAGAGCCGGACATTTGTCAGAAATGACCTTGGCTTCCATGTCAACACAGCCTTACATGGGTACTAGGTAAATTCCTAGGAAGTAAAGGCGACCTGTATAATGTTGACCACATCACCCAGTGAGGTCCCATTAGCCCATAAAATATAGATCTAGCCACATCTGCCCAGTGAGGTCCCATTAGTCCATAAAATATAGGTCTAGCCACATCTGCCCAGTGAGGTCCCATTAGTCCATAAAATATAGGTCTAGCCACATCTGCCCAGTGAGGTCCCATTAGCCCATAAAATATAGATCTAGCCACATCTGCCCAGTGAGGTCCCATTAGCCCATAAAATATAGATCTAGCCACATCTGCCCAGTGAGGTCCCATTAGCCCATAAAATATAGGTCTAGCCACATCTGCCCAGTGAGGTCCCATTAGCCCATAAAATATAGATCTAGCCACATCTGCCCAGTGAGGTCCCATTAGCCCATAAAATATAGATCTAGCCACATCTGCCCAGTGAGGTTCCATTAGCCCATAAAATATAGGTCTAGCCACATCTGCTCAGTGAGGTTCCATTAGCCCATAAAATATATATCTCGCCACATCTGCCCAGTGAGGTCCCATTAGTCCATAAAATATAGGTCTAGCCACATCTGCTCAGTGAGGTTCCATTAGCCCATAAAATATAGGTCTAGCCATATCTGCCCAGTGAGGTCCCATTAGCCCATAAAATATAAATCTAGCCACATCTGCCCAGTGAGGTCCCATTAGCCCATAAAATATAGGTCTCACCACATCTGCCCAGTATGCCTAAAGGTGTGGAAAACGGTCCTTCATATTCTTGTTGTGCCATGTGTGTTTATATGTCTGTGTGTGTTTTTCTTCCATACATTGGTTGTGTTCATGCTGCTGTCATCTAATTTTGGGTCTATGTGAGGTTCAGTATATGAGCTCCTACTTGTTTCTTCACAGATTTCAGCATAACTTTTTTTTGCCCGTTTGCAATAATCAAAACCTGCTGCAGTCGTTGACATTCTTATTCTCTGCATGTCCAGTTGTTGTCAGTGTTCTCAATAAATACAACAACAAAAAAACACCAGAGATGTTCACCCAGTCAAATATACTGTGTGCTGTATGCATGTTTATGTTGGTTTGTGTGTGTGTGTGTGTGAATTTATATATATATATCATGTTTATGTTGGTTTGTGTGTGTGTGTGTGTGTGTGAATTTATATATATATATATCATGTTTATGTTGGTTTGTGTGTGTGTGTGTGAATTTATATATATATATATATATGTATATATAATATATATATATATATATATATATATAATAGTGGTACCTTGGTATACATACTTGATCGGTCCCAGATCCTTGGACATATACCATACAAATTTTCCAAGAAATAAAGGATAACTGGTTAATCTGTTCCCATTTTTTTTTAAAATACGTATCGCCACTGGCATATTATACATTTATGTGGTTGTATAAAATAATTTAAATACTGCTTAATACTGGAATATGAAAGTAATTTGATGGAATAAACGAAAATTTAACCTAAGTTTTTCTTGCTGAGAAAATTTGAGTGCATACTAGGATGGTGATAGAAGGGAGGAGGAGGATGTGTTCCTGTTTGGGAGGAGACCCTTAAAATTGAACTTCAGGAGTCTTACATTCTAGTGTGTGTATCCCTCCCACTCCCCCTGTCTTTTTTCCCTACTTGAACCTTGTTGAGGCTCACCATGTTTGACTTTTACTAAAAAAAAATCTGTCCAAAGAACTTTACATCTCTGTCTCCTCCTCAGGATGTTTTGGAAATGTGACATTGTCTGATCATTCCAGACAGTGCTGCTACAGCTTGTTTAAGCTTTGCTGAGGTGGTACTTCTCTGCAGAGTTTTGACATCCATTCATATTGCAAACATTCCCTTGGTTAATGAGAGGGGTAAACAGGGATAGCACACAGTGTCATGACTCATTTTGACTCATACAAGTTTGGGCATGCGAGTTGGATTCCAAACAAAAAGCATGTACCAAGCAACATTTTTCATATCTAAATAGGACATATACCAAGTTAAAAATATACGAAAGAAGACATATACCAGGGTACAAATGTATACATGTGTGTGTGCACTGTAAACAGAAATGTTAAAAACTGTTTATTTCATTATGGTCTGAATGGCTGCATATGCGGTGAAGATGAATGTCGACCAGCTAACTAAATGTATGTCTGCCTGATGTTTGCACAGAATGAAGTGTTCTGTCCAGAGCGACTGATGATGAGCATTCTAGCCCAGATTCACTACATGCCAGATCACTGGAAAGGTCGTGCCCACACTTCACACGTCAGAGATGAGTTTGCAATGCTGTTTCAATACAAAGTGGTGAGTTGTCTGCTGAGTTGTAATGCTATACATAAATAATGTTTCTTCTCTGATGTAGAGTTCTTCCACATTGTCCCTTCATCTTCATTATATACATTATTTACTCCGAGATACAAATGTGAGGAAATGAACAGGCAGACAGAACAGGCTGTCAGTTCCCTTTGGGAGTGAGTGAACAGTGTGGAGGTACAAATTGTTCATCATATCTGAAGAGGAGGTCCCGGGGTAGACAGCCCTGTTTGGATATTTTTTCCAGGTCATGCCTGTGTGTTGGGAAATGAGCAGAAAGACTGGCAGGTTCACTACTTGGTGGTGAATTGATGTATGGCAAGCTAGATGTTGTAAGGGCCCTTTAGGAGCGCGTAAACAGTGCGTAGGCACAAATATGTCATTACGGTCTGAGGAGAATTGCACTGCGGGAAGCTACCAGGGGACCTCGCTGATGCTCAACACTCAAGGGAAAGGTGAGACGGATGTAAAATCAGACAGTTACTGGTACCATCAGAATTGGAACTCTTCACATGCTGCTGAAGATGGGGACAGATCGCTTATGGAAGTGTCTTAATTCAGCATTCAACATTTAACAGTCTGAAGAGAATGGTGCAGTGGGTAGTGACCTGGAGATCTGGCCAACACTTAATACTCGGGGAAAAGGCAAGACAGACACACAGTCAGACCACAGCTGATGCCATCGGCATTGGAACTCTCTGATGGCTGCTGAAGATGGAGACAGAGCGCTTATATGGATTTCCAGAGTGTTGATATTGGTTCTCAACTCAGTTAAGCTCAACTCATTTTATAAATATTCATCTTCTATATCTCCTTTTTTTTTAGAAAGATTAATCTTTGGAATGGCTAATGTAATACATACCAGCTTAGCTAGTTTGTGACACTTTGTAAATAAAATTCACTCTCTTTTCCTCAGATTTCTAATCAGATATTTTTCTCAGATTTCTAATCAGATTAAGAAACAAGACTCAGTGAAAACATATTACAGGTTTTAGAATGCTAATCAACCACTTTACTGGAAATTCAAGCATGTTAGCCAAAAAGCACCTCTTTTAGGTGGCACTGTAAGATGTATTCTTCATTGTTCACCCAAGTGGTGTAATTGTGTTTTGCCTATTACAGCAAAGCTTGATGTTGACACCTTTTGCACCGACACATCCAACTTCATCGATCATTGGGTTGGCCTTTCTGGCTATAAGATTTTATTGCAGTTTTAACCTGTTTAGAACTAGAAGGGTGTGATAGAAATCAAGATTATTGCTGATATAAGAACATTTAAACTGGGTTTAATAAATGACAGTTTGAGATTTTAAAAGATTAAGGATATTGTTTGAAAATATTGGGAATGGTTTAAACAGTGGTTGAGATGGATGTAAGGAAAGGTTGCAATAAGATTTAATAATTGTGGAAAGGGAGTGTAAGAATGATTGTGATGGAGAGTGCTATTTTTATTTCCAGGATGGGTAGGTGAGGAAATACACTAAAGAATCTTGATGCCGGGTCACATAAGGCAGTACCAGTCAGCAGAAAGAAGCATCTCATACAAAGCATATTTATTACCGTCCTGTGCTGCCACTGCCAGACATAGTCAGTCACAACAAAACTGAAAAGAAATTTAGTAACTGGGAATGAAATGTCTGAGAAAGGCTGCAGGAGTGACACAAAGAGATAAAGTCAGGAATGAAGTCGTAAGAGAAAAAGTCAGCATAGAACCAATATTAAATTATATATAAAGGCCGCAAATAAATTGTTTGCCAACTTAGAGGGAATGCTTTGCAATGCCCTACCCTAGAGGGCATAAACCAAAAGAGAACAGGGGCATAGAACATGAAGTAGACCAAGAACAAGATGGAGAGCTTACATCAGAGAAATTCTATAACTGTGTGATATTTTCTGAAGTCAAATTGGCCAGAAGAACAAGAAGCAGAACATTACATCTCTCTTGACACCCGAAGCCATAAAAGCAGAAGTGAAAAAGAAAACAAAAGAAGAAGGTATGCGAGTAATTGTGTAATTGTGGTGATAAGATAGAAAAAGCACATTTTGCATCAGTCATTCGTGTACATCCCTATCTAGGTTTATATTTTGGAGGAGCTCCTGAGCCCAATCTTCACTCCTTTTTGGCTGTTCTTCTGCCTGCGACCTAAATCTGTCCAGATCGTGGACTTCTTTCGATGTTTCACAGTCGAGGTGGCTGGAGTTGGGGATGTCTGCTCCTTTGCACAGATGGACATTAAAAAGCATGGCAATCCACAGGTCAGTTGTGTTGTGTGCTCGTTAGATGGAGACTTTTGTTTTATTATTATTATTATTAAAATTTGAATGCATATGGAAAGAGAACAAAACAACATACAAACTTTGTTTTCAAAGGGTCACAAATTGGGCACGCAAGCCCATCTTACATTCGGCCCTTTCAAACACCCATCTTTCAGACCGCAATTGCATTTTATCGGTAAAGACTGTTCGAGGCGTAAAGGAAGACAGTGTGATAATACTCTTGACAACCATCTATAGCTTATAGAGGTATCAGTGTGTGAAACTTATACATGTCATTCAAGATCACAGCTTGTAGAGAGACATGATTGCCCACACCAGCTGATCCTACCCCTTTGTCAAGTCAAAGAAAGGACCCTTTTCACGTCATTTGCGCACCAGGCATATGATGTTAGACTAATAATTTTTTTTATTGACCAATCATCAATCAGTTGGTGATGCGATCATCATCACGTTGTCCACATTTATTTCCTCGGCACATTTTCTCTCACCCATTTTAGACTAGGTCAGCCTGAGAGCCATTGTGAATTTTTTTTTTTAATCCACCCAGAATTTGGATTCAAACGCAACAATTTAGCATCTAGCCACTGCACTATTGCAACTTTGTGTGAAATGTTGATTTAAGAATAAATATCATAGCTCTTGGGAACACTTCCATAAGTGCTGCATCCCCATCTTTAGCAGCAAGCAGAGAGTTCCAATTCTGATGGTACCAGTAACTGTCTGATTGTACAACTGTCTCGCCTTTCCCTTGAGTGTTGAGCGTCAACAGATTCCCCTAGTAACTCCTCGCAGTACCATTCTCCTCAGACAGTAATGATCTGTCTGTGCCTCCTCACTGTTCACTCATTCCCGAAAGGCCCTTACAACATCTTGCTTATCATACATAACTTCCCCACCAAGTGGTGCAGAACCGGCCGGTCTATTTGCATCCTCATTTCCCAACACCGGCATGACCTGGAGAAAATATCCAAAGGACAGTAACTACCCAGGGCCTCTAAAGCGGTGCTTGCCACTCTAAAAGTTGCTCAGTGTGTGTGTTTGTACTATGGTGTTATCTTTCAGTATAAATATCGAACTGCCAGGAGATTTGGGTGTACATGGTAATTAGCAGGTCGCTGGGCCATGAGCTACATTATGATGAAGTGGACTTGTGGAAGGTTGTCTGGGATCAAGGCTGTCTGGGATTAAGTCAACAGAACAACACAGCATCCTTATCTGGAGAGAAAAATTAAGCTGGGAGTGAGCAGGGCGATCTGGGCAGTTTTCTGCACGGAAGAGTAAAAGCACACAAACTTTCAGTCAGGTTTCAACTATCTGGGCCACCACTGTTATCAGCAGTTATAAGACACAAAGATGATGCTACAATGGACATATCACACATGCTGAGAAGAAACCAGAGGTGTTTCACCAAACAGGCATTAAAGTGGGAAAAAGGGGAAAAAAGGCATTACGGGGTGAGGACGCCTGAAGAAACCCTAAGATAAACGTGGATGAGAGAGGCCAAAGCTGCTGGACTAAATTAGATCCATTATATTGAACTGATTGCACACAGGAGGAAGAGACTGTGAGCCCTACGTGACATATAATGGCATACCAGGATAATGAATGAACTGACAACATCAATGCTTTACCTATTGTATGTGGTGGTGGTGGGGGGGGGGGGGGGGGGGGGGCATGTTATATGGAAATACAAAAGGTTTTATTTAATTGTTTTAAAAATAATCCCATCTTCATAGTTGTGCTCAAAGTACATTTGATGATTCTTTTGATGATTTTTGTCATTTTTTATAAGGTATGCAGATTTGGATCTTAAACATTTGTAACTGTAGAGTGTTATGAAGCAGTTAATTGGACGAGGAGCGGCTGGCTGAACGGTCAGAATCCTGGGCTCTCATGCGTGAGACCCGGGTTTAAATCCTCACTAAGGTTGGAGATTTGTTCTGTTGGGGTGCAAAATAAAATTCTCACCTGCACAGACCGTGGCGACAGCACTAGCCACGCAGCCTCAAATCTTCAGGCCCAAAGACCCCTCTGCCTAAACCGCAAAAGTGATATAATAAAGGCAGTAATTGGCAGGTATTTTGATGAGACTACTTAGCATCTTTTTTGCACTAGTAATATCCTGGATCTGAATCTGGCAGTGGATAATGTTGACAATATAAGGAACTTGAGAAAGATTGACTCCTTCATGATCCCAGAATCGTGGATTGATGCCTAGCACTTTCAGTGAGGGTAAGAAGGGCAATATTGACTGTGTATTGCATTCTAACGTTGGAGACATATTGGAGCACTTAAGGTCATGTGTGATGAAGATGGTCTTTAAATAAGCAATGTGCATTCTTCAAGTATGTTTAATATCAGAATATTATCTTGTGAAATTTGTGTTAGCTTGATATAATAAAAATAGTGATTGTTTTCTTTTCAGTGGACACAAACTAAACCAGGTACTGACGTGGCACCACGAGCTATGCAGGCGGAGAATGGGAAAATTGAGCTGTCCCTTATGCATTTCACTGTGAGTTATGCTATTTTTGGGTTTATTTCGTCAGTTGCTAAACTTGTTATTTTGTGAACCACTAAACATTCTTGTATAGAATTCTTGTCACAATGAAGAGTCAGTTATTGATTCCTTAGTACTGTCTCTTAACTCCTTCAGTCCCAACCAACTTATTGTGAACTTAGGGTGAACATCTATTGTCCATGTGTATCACACAATCAACAATGTGATGTGATGTTTAGCCTAAGCATCCTTCAGAAACCTGGCTAACTATTTTAATCCTCAGCTACGTATATGAGTTGCTACATTTGTTACTGGGTACCAGGATTGCTGGCCTGGGGAAGTAGAGACGGCCGGCATAATGCTAACCACATTACCTATCCAGTGCTGATTGGTCTGTACAAATATGGGCCGCTCTTCCCATTTACCCGATGTGCCTAAGGCGTGAAAAGGGATCGTTACTTTACTTTACATTTGTTACAGCCAGGTTATCATATTTTGTGTTTACTATGACTACTGCTACCTTTGGGATTATATTGCAAAATCTTTTGGTACTCAAAGAGTTAATGTTAGATGAGCCTGCTGACCCACTTGTTAAATCCAAGTAGGTCCAAGGTAGGAGCCTGTGAGCATATGATTTCCTCGGGACTGAAAGAGTTAACCAGCATAGGACTGACAAAATTAGTTGCAGAATGCTGACCTGTATTTCGATGAGGGAACCTAAGCTCTATGCATGTGTTCAGAGTGTTGTAAAAATAACCCAGCTCTTAACTCATTATTTTAGGGAAGAATTCTTTTAAGCATTTCTCAAGCTGTTCTAAATCACTTATATTTCAGACCACAAACCCAGAATGGAAACCACCTGAAGAGAGCAATGCTTTTATAGCCGGTGTCAAAACTGAAGGTATTTTTGTTTTGTTTTGCCTGAAATCCAAGTGGGTTTTTTTCTCTCCCCCTTTTTAACTCTTTTTTCTTTCTTTTCATAATTCGGATTCTATCGGCTCCAAAAGGTTTCACAGCAGATGCCTAAGTGGACCATATTGATAAAAGCATTGAATGCTTTACTTTCAGACTGGGGATCATCACAGGAGCTACAGAGTTGATGCTGTGTGCGACACTGTTGGTGGAGAGAGGGGGAGCCAGATGGATTAAAATCTGTTGCAGTGAAGTCGATCCCCTTGACTTTGAGATTATAATGTATGCTCTAAGCCTGTAAGTAAAGAACCGATACCGTAGTCCTAGAGAAAGCAGCCATGCCCAGCATCCACACTCTACTGATGCAGCATCAAATTCGTTGGGCTGGTCATGTGGCACGCATGCCAGATCACAGGCTCCCAAAAAACTCTTCTATGGTGAGCTGCAAAATGGGAAGCGTTCCCAAGGCGGGCAAAAGAAAGGCTTTAAGGACACCTTGTAGTCTTCACTCAAAGCATTTGGAATAAATGACACCAATTGGGAGGCTGCCTCTCAAGACCGAAATGCATGGCATGCAGCCTCTACACAAGGGCTCGGCTACATGTGAAGCAAACAGAACAGCAAGATTTATTAAGAAAAGGATGAACAGAAAGGCGACTGCAGGAGATCCCCTCCCTGGCACAACACTCATTCCCTGTCCTCACTGTCCAAGAACTTTTCGGGCCCGCATCGGCCTCATCAGTCATCTTCGTACTCATACTTAATGACAAAGAGTGGTCATCATCATCTTGATGGACAACACACAAGTAAAGAACCTATTCAGTGCAAATTCACAATCAAGATCTTCAGGCCTGCAAGTGAGCATCTAGACACTACGCTAGAGTGACTCCCATTTATGTGCTGTACTGCAATGCTGTTCAACTTGCGGGGAAAATGTTGAAAATGGGGATCGTTGCAGGTAGAAGCCTGAGCCCTCAGTGTAAAAATAATCATCAATAAAGTGCAGTTGATAATGATCATGCAGGCCACTTGTTGGGCTTCTGTGGGCCAAATTCTGCCTGCGGGCCGCTTGTTGTACAGCCCTGCTGTACTGTCTGTTAAAGTTTAGTCAGTCCAGATGTGAAAGATCCAATAACACATAATGTTAACAGAAAAAGAGAAAAGAAACATTACAACAATTGGAGTGTGATTCCTGTGGAGAGTTCTTAATGTAACAGGAAGAGAGAAGATCATAAATGATGAAATCTGAAGGGAAATGGGACAGCCCTGGATTTCATTAGAAAACTAGTGAAGTGGTTTGGCCGTATAATGTGGATGCCAGCAGGCAGTATACCACAGCAAGCAATGATGTACAGACCAAGCAGGAAGTGAAGAAGACCAGGCAGACGATGGCCAGAGGGAATAACACCTGGGAATCCCCTTTTATGAAGCGCACAAACAGGCACTTTCTGACAAATTATACTTCACCTCGATACCACAAGGTCCCAGAGGATCAAGATGAGATGAGATGAGGACACTGGACAAATTGTGCTAGACTTAGAATTTTATCCACCAGTTGACACATGATGTAGTCAGTATCATGCCAGTCTCCTTTACATCCCAGAACATTTCATCATAGCCAGTTTAGTACAGGTTGATCTGGAAGCCCAGCTCTGTTACTAACACCTACCTTAATAGGATTCGAACCTCAAGACCTTTCAGTCAGACAGGCGAGCATGTAGCCACAGTGTTGACGGGCTAAAAGATGTTCCTGCCTACACCACAGAAATGGTAAATACAGGCAATAATAGCAGTTTTTTAAAATGGCTACCATAGCTGCTGAAGCTTAGCTCGAGTGGTCATATTTTCTTCTTCTTCTTCTTGTTCACCGGCTGTGAATTCCGGCGGTAAGTCGCGGTTTTTCGTCCAAAATGGACTTTTGGCTTTTACCTTGACCTGAGTTTTGCGTGTACATCCGTTTTACTGGCTTATTTGTTTGCAGTACTCGTTCCCCGCCTCTCAGGCAGATGTACTCCGACTTCGGAGGAAGACGTCAAGCCTATTTCTAGGTTGACTGTGGCCATTGTTTTGTGTGGGTCGAGATGTTGCCTTATTTGTGTGGTGTCCTCTTTGACTTTTAACAAGTGTGGCCCCCCGGCATGTCGTCCTTAAGGCAGCTCTATGTAGAGTTTTCAGCCCTCAAGGGAAGGCAGGGGCAGATCATGGGCATTCCCCGCCATCCAAGGAGGCTTCCATAAGTGCAGAGCCGACACATGATGCTCTGGTTCTGGGCTCACCCAAGGAATCGTCACGTCCTGCCCATGACTGCTTAACCTCACAACCGTGTATTGAGCTTCCCGCGCTACAAGGCTGCGCTCTTTGGAGATCAGCGGGGAGCAGCCCACAGGTCTAGGACGTTTGTGGCCACACAAATAGGTACATGCTTTTTCATCTTACGTTAGACACCTTTAACGTTGTTTCAGCTGTGCCCTTAGCACGACAGAATGGGGAAGCAAAATGCGTCAGGCGTGGCTTCACCTGTTTGGTCCCAACACTCGGGCGAGTTGGACCAGTGGATACGGACATTCAGACTTTTCCTAATCGGTACGAGTTATGATCGTCGGACTTTGAGCTTGCATGTGTGCCGTGGGGTGTAACTTTGTCGGACATTGTTTTCAAGCCAGCATATGAATAGTTGCTGCCATGGTCTACCTCAGCGCGGTGACGACGACACTGAGGATTGACAGAGGATGTACGTAGGTGGGATCTTGCTGCGAGAAGTCGCCCACAAGAGATGTTACTTGTCTTGGCTGCGGGTAAATCTCTCGGTCAGGGTTGAGTCTCAGCAGCACAGTTTTCCATTCGCTCCCGAATTTTAACCAAGAGTTGTCATTTGATGGTACATTTAGCAAGCAGTCCTTGAGTTTTGTTACTTTTCACCCATGCGTTTGGGGGCGGGCTGGTGAGAGCCAGAAAGGACTCTACACCTCTGGGGGCCGCCAGCTCCGAGATCCCCTGCCAACTCTGTTAATGCTCATTTGAGACATTATCCGTGGCGCACGACGGGGACGTGCAACAGGAGTCTTACATGAGGTTCCGTAAAACCAGAACAGTGAAGTACTGGCGCCCGAGTGGGGTACGGAATATCTCCTTATACACATCACATCAGACTTAACTTCCCCTCATGCCTGTGACCGAAATCACCGCGCCACGGTCATATTTTGTTTTCTGTTTTCTTAGTTCAAAGGGAGTTGCCAGCTCTAACAAGTATTATAGCTGATCCATTCAGTCTGCCGAGCCTGGGATATGTGAATCCTGTACCTCCCTTGTTTCCGGTAAGTTTTTGGGTGTGAGAGGTGTTGCGGAAAAAAAAAAGGGGGGGGGGGGGGGGGTTATAGAAAGAACGGAGAGAATGGACCAATACTAGAAAGCTCAACCCAGTGGAAGTGCACGCAGTGGGAAACACCAGTCTAAACAGTACACTATCGTGACTCCTACTTTAGTCATTGTAATTTATTGTGGTACCTTATTATTACTTTATTATTTAAATACTTTGACCATCCATCGTGGAAAATGTCCCAGTAATGATGAAACTGAATCTGTGCAAAAATAAATACACACACACAAACACACACACACATATTCCCTGTGTTGGATGACAGATGCATATAAATGTGTGTTAGTAATTTTACTAATCATGTCAGTACATGCCTACATACAATATGTTTAGACGATGATGAACAAAGGGAAAACAAAGCTTGTTTGTTCCGTAACTCCCCCCTTTTCCCCCACACTATATGTGACTGATGAAGCTACCACACCCCACAACAAAGTGCCTACACTGGTCCAACCACAATGCTTTAACTTTAATTGTCCCTGCCTGATCCAGACTTCAAGTAATGTTGAGGACATCACACAAGCGATAAACACCCAATGACACGTGCCACCATGTGGATGAGATCACCGTGGAGAGGTCCCAGAAACCGCGTTCAGCCAATTGGCCATGTTTATGGCCTGGCTATATTGCGGCCCCTGGCGAGAGCCGGGGTGGGGCTTTAAATACAAAAAAATGTCATCCTAAAAAGGACGGTAAATAGTAATTTCAAGTAATGTTGTAACTGTTAAAGGCCCCAATATAACTTTACGGTTGAATCCTTGAAGTGTTAATCCTAGGACTACAATCCTGGAGGGAACCAACTACAAACACAATGCTTTCGCTGCTCTCATCTCACTGCTTAAAAAAAAAAACCTTCAGACTTCGAGTATGAAGGAGGTAACAACAAAATGAAACTTTCTGAAACCTAATTTGTTCAAGTGATGTTTAAATAAAATGTGTAAATACTCAAGGGAAATAACTCTGGCAAATGTTAACTTTAAGTGATTGTGTTATTAGTTATCTGAAATGCCCAGAAACATGTGCAGCAAATAGCACCATTAACCTTGACATTGCAGACAGAATGACACCTGCAAATTTCACCTTTTTGCTGGTCATCATTTGGGAGGAGTTCTTAATAGATTGAAATCTACAAGCGGACACAGGGATTTGCATTTTTTTTAAACTGATGAATGCATAAATCAAAATTAATACATAAAATTATGGATAATTTATAAAATAATAAATTATAATATAAATTTTAATTAGGTATTTATAAATGCCTAGTGGGGTACATTTTTGTCAGATGCTCATACATGAACAGCAATTAATTGAGGACCTGGTCATATTTTTGGATTTAATTGTTTTCTTATAAAGTATTTTTCCAGTTCTTTGACCGTTTGTGATATTTTTTTCTTCAGCAAAACATTTTTTGACATATATTTTAGTTGCTGTTTTAGGGATTGCTACGTTGTGAGATCCTAGTCTCTTATACCACTGTATTCACACGAGAATGGTTATTTTCTAACCCAGCTGCCATGCAAATTGAACCTTGGTACATCAAGGATTGTGAAACACGATTGCTACCTTCTTGTCTGCTATAAAATTGGTTCAGTTTATTTTGCATGCAGGCTTTTAATAATGTAAAAGAAGTATGGAATAACATTTGATTTTGCCTTTGCTGTTTTCATAGATGGGTTCCAGCATTCAAAGAAGCTATCAGTTCCAACCAGAGCAGATGAGCTCACTGAGCCCAATGTCTGGCCAGCCTCCCAGGCTAAGAGGTGGACTCTCCAGCCATGATGGTCCTATTAACCAGAATTCAAACTTTCAAACAAGTTTGACCAACTCTGGTTCCTTTCACACGGCCACGTTTGCTCTGAGCGGGCTGGACGAGGGTCAACATGAGCTGTTGTCCGGCAACATGAGCTTGAGTGTTTTGCATATGCACGAAGCTCACCATCGCAAACGTCGTGTGTCCAGCGGAGTTTTCCGACAGTGCTCTGATGAAGATCCAGCCACACCACAGGAGACCAGGCTGTCGGGTATACCACTGTCAAATATGACATACAGCCGAGGGCAGCACTCTGGAAGGAACCCTAGCAGCGGCGCCATGCATGCTTCAGCTTCCCCAGACATGCTGTCCTCTACTTCCTCAACAGGGTCAGTCATTCTACGTGAGACTGATCCTCAGAGGTCGACTCATTTGACAGACACCTCTTGGGTTAACCAGCCTGGAGCCGCAGCACAAGCTACTGAAGCACCTTCGTTTTCCTCATCTCCGTACAAAACGCTATCACACGGTGCAGCTCCTGCGCCCATGCCTCACCCTTTGTCTCAGGATGTATTTGATGATGATGCAGAATCGGGACTCTCCAGCCTTCCTCCATTACCGACCCCTCAGTCTCCCTTTGCATTGCAACAGCCATCTGCCAGTTCTGGTACTGCTTGGACTCCTGGACTCAGAGTTGCTAATGAACACATGCCGCGAATCCGAGAAGACAGCGTCGAGCACGAGCTGGACACATCTGAAGCTGCCCCCACAGGTCCTAGAAAGTAAAAAACAACAATTCACCTGTGGAAACTAAGCTTCTTTCAAGAATAAAACTTGTAATAATGAATACCCAGCTATAGGATCCTCAATTTTGACCTTGTCAAGGTTGAACTGGGTTCCGGAAACCTGTTCTCTTTGACTTAGCATTCAAAGTTTGGCTCGTGTGATCACTGTGGTGTCCAGCTGCTTAGAGAGCAGTCATGGAATAAATTATATAAAACAAATAATGTTAATTAATTAAATGTGTTTTTTGAGAGTGTTTATATCTGCTTCTGCTTACTTATAATATAGCTAACTAGTGTTCTTCTCAAACAGGCATCTCACCTTATTTCTCATAACTCACATATTATTATAAGTCCGCTGCTTCATTATCAGTATATCTTGATCAGCTAGGTTTTTTCCTTTGTCATGAACGCAGCAATTTGCTGAAATAATGTTGAGTCAACTTTTTACATGTCTTTGAAAATTAATGGAAACCACATTTCTGCAGCCTGGGTCAACTGGCTATTAGACTTTTGAAAATGTAACATATTTCCCCAAAGACCCCCTCCCCCCTCCCCCCCACCACCTTCATCTGTTCTCTCTGTTTCTGTGTCTTTTCTCTCTGTCTCTTCTTTTCAACACTTCTTTCTGTCAGTCTTCTGTGTCTCTGTCTCACTCTCTTCCCCCCCCCCCCTTTCGCCACCACCTTTTTTTTCATCAAGATACAATGTTTGTTGTGAAGTGGCTTAGAAGTGTGAATTTCTGTAATTTCTAATTACTGAATGTTGCCTGCTACCGTCATTCTGTTTTGTGTGATGTTAATTATGCATTTCTTAAATCTGCTAATTCACTGAAATATCACCTTATTTGCTTTTTGGCCTGCAATTTGATGTCTGACATACTTTTAATTCAATCATCCTTATCATTTTATACCATTTAAAATCATTAGGAGTTAATGATCTATTCCTCCATTTTCTTTTATCCTGTTTAGTCCCTTTAGTATCATGGATGGGTTCCCGTCAAGCATCTTTGGCCTCTCTCAGCAATGTTCATCTTAGGGTTTTTCTTGTGAACATCCTTGATTGTTCAGTCCATGTGTTTCCCATTGCTGTGCCTGTTTATTGATTCTCTGTCCACTTCTCCTCATGATCTTCTCAGTATATTGCCATCACCTTTGTCTTTGAGATTGGAGCCTGTGAATCCACTCAAGTATATTTGTCTCAGAAACCACATATCTGCTGCTTCCAAGCTCCTCCTGCTTTGTTCCTTGACATTATAGTTATCAGTTATATTTCTACATGCTTGAGCATAATAGTTCTAGGTGGAAATCATATAAATATTTTGTATTTTAAAATGTATGCAATATGACTTTGATAGCAGTGTGTAAGTATGATTTTTCAACCAACAAGTAGTTTTTGAGGGATTCATTTCTGTTTTTTTCTAGAAAGTTTTGTATAACTTCGTAATAAATAACATGGACAGTGGTAGAAAAAAATAAATGCAAAATTGCAACATGTGAGATTAGATGTATAAGAAATGCGGCTGCCAAAACAAGAAGAGTCACTAGTGAAGAACTAAGAACAATAGTAGGCACAGTACCGGTAAATGATTTTATAGATGGTCAAATGGTTTAGTCATCTGGTCAGAGTGGAACAAATTCAGCCAGCAGATAGAGTCTACTGCATGAGGCCAGCAGGCTGAAAGGCGGGAAGATAATCAAAAAAGAGATGGGTGGAGGGAGTAAAAGTACGACTTTAACACAAGCTAAGTAACTAGCTACAGACAGGTAACTTCATGTTACTCTCGTCTCTCTGACTCTTCACGGCATAAGCAGTAGGATAAGTGAAGGAGATAAATGGCAGTGCAAACAATATTTTCTAGTTAACTGCCATCTGTTTACCATAAAGCCAATATTTAAGGGGAAAAATGTACTTTCAGACTGCTGTTTGTTGATTGACCTCTTGATGTCATCCTCCTTTTTGTATAATTGCTAACAACCTCTTGCTCGCTTGCAACTTTTCTGTCTAGAATAGGTTTTATAATGTATTGTTGTATGCAATGCAGTCTGTTCATCTGTATGTCAGTGTCCTGTTCAACTTTCTAACTACTTGTTCATGGCCCAAATCCTGATATGTATGTTTGTAAAAATGATTGTAAATATCGGTAGGTGGCTTGTGTACTAGCATTGATCCGGTGAACCAACCAAGATGTTGTGTGTGTTTGTATAATTAAAATATACCAAGTGTGTAAAGTCAAGATTGTTAATTTGGTTGCACCAGATTTTATTCCATAAGCCTGGGTCTTCCTCCACAGAAAGGCTAGCTGCCTGCAAGGAGCATCACACAAACCACAGACTGTGTGGCTCCAGTGACAGTCGCCAGGAATTTTGTTAACATGACACAGTCTGTGAAATGAACCCACTTCTATCACAGCACAAGATGAATCTCTGAACCACTTAGCCATGGAGACATCCTTAATTCAAAATTAGATGATGCCAGTATTTTACTGTTTTCATATCTTTTTACAGGGCAAATGTGACAAGAATGATAGCTAAAGCAGACACATAATACGAAACTCTAAGCTTGTGTGTTTTTTTATTTTAGCTTCAGTAAATCCGTCAAGTGCTCTCTCCACATCGAAGGTTGAGGAAACGCAAGTCCATCCTCTACTACAGGGCTATTCAGCTTGTGGCTTGCAGGTCTAGCAATTGGCCACGGATCATTTCCAGTTGTATCATATTAGTGATCTATCTATGCTGGAGCTGAGGCCTCCAGCCAGTGACAATCTCCATTTTCACAAGTTTGGCCACTGAGTAAACTTAGTTGAATAGCCCTGACCTACTACAATGTGGAGACATAAGGAAACATGTCCCTCAAGCACAGAGGTTTCCAACCTTTCTAATGCCATGACCCCTTAATAAAGTTTCCTCATGTTGTGGCGACCCCCAAACAATTTGTTTCTTCATAACTGCAATAAATATGTGTTTTCCGATGGTCTTAGACGATCCATGTGAAAGGGTCACGACCGGCAGGTTAAGAACCCCTGCTCTAGCACTTGTTGCATGGCATGGAGGTGTGTCGGCACACGAACTGATACATGCTGCAAGAGATCCTAGATTATTGATAGGCATGATCGCCCATGCCACTCGGCAAGGCACCTGATGATGATGCTCTAGGACTATTAAAAAACAATAAAATAGTGACAGAACTTTTTATGTGTGTGTGTAAAAAACTCAGTTTTCATTGTTTCCAACAGGGACTGAATATTGGAATGTTTTTTTTTTTGATGAATTCTTCTCACTTTGGGTGAATAAATGAGTACTTGAATATCTCAACGTTGAATTATTCTACCACTGAATAAATATTGTAACATCTTAGAGTTGAATTATTCTATTACTGATTGAATATTTGAACATAGTAATAGTTTAATTTTTTTTTAAATAACGTTTCTGAATTGATTTTTTGAACATCTTAGTGTTAAATTAGTGTATTACTGAATGTATGTTTGAACATAAGCATTGAATTATTCTATTGTGGAATGAACATGTGCACATCTTGTGTTGAATTTTTGTTGTTGTAATTTCTTGATGAAGTCTTGAACATTAGCTTTAAATTAGTGTCTTACTGAAAAACTATTTTCTGCATTTTAATTGTGAATTATTTTCTGTGTATACTTATATTTGAAAATCTTAATGTTGAGGTTTTTTTTTTCCCTGAATTAATATTTAAACATTTTAATATAGAGTTATTCTTTCTGTTTGAACATCTTAATGTTGAATTATTTTTATTGATTGAATATTTGAACCTTTTGAAAATTTTAATGTTTATTATATTGCTAAATACATATTTGAACATTTGGGCTTTGAAATATTCGGTTATTGAAAGAATATTTGAACATTTCAGTGATTCCAAACTAACATCTTTTTGCCTCTTCATACCTCTCTTTCCTTCTGACTTTCCTACTGTAACAGTGTACTCACATTTTCCCTTGAACAGCTTTGATGTTTGCCCTTAAAGCACAGTTGGCCCGCGTTGTGTTTTACAGCTGGGCTGTGATATTGGTGCTCATTGGCCCAGTGCATCTGATTTAAGCAGATCCTTAATTGATTGCCATTTATGATATGCTTGTTTATGTGCATTGTGTATTCCCCCCCCCCCCCCCCCCCCACCATCCCCAGTGGGGCCATGGAACCCACTCAGGAAAGAGTATATTTGTATGTTGAACTCAGTTTTTAGAAATGCTGGAAAAGCTGAAACCAGGTGTGCAGAGTGGCAAACATCACTTCAAAAGTCCAAGGTACTTAGCATCCTTTAAATATTTTCTTCAGGGCTGTTCAGGGGTGTTGGGAAACGAAAAGGCTGACAGACTTGCTGGCTCTGCACCACTTGGTGGTAAATATGAGCATGACAAGCCAGATTTTGTCAAGGCTCTTTGCGAAGGAGTGAACAGTGCAAGGCCACACTTAGATGAGCATGGTATGAAAAGAATGATGCAACAGGGAGTGACAAGGGGATCTGGCCAACGCTCCACACTAAGATGAAAGGCAAGAAGCTATGATGTCTGTTCTAAACACTCAACTCAACACACAGTTGTGTAGTGAATGGGTTTATGCAATGAATAGAATCTTGGCTGAGCATTATTTTTGTTTTTTTATGTTGGGTGCTTACTGTGTTGTCTTGTTTAACAATTACCTCAGATATGATTGAGTGGCTATGATGTTTTCATCACGAGTGCTTTTTTATTACCAGTTCTCTAGTTGTGTGTTGCCTGTCCTGTAGTAGATTTTGTTTCATTTGTACATATTTACAGTTTACTCAAAGTAGCACAGTACTTTAAAGCGGTGTTTCCCACGTTGGGTTCCGATGTCCTATTATGGGGAAAACAATTGTAGACACACTGCCTCCCCAGCAAGCATGTCATAATAGTTGACTAATTGGCAGCATTCTTCAGAATCAGCACGACATCTGCCTGAGAGGCAAGCAACCAACAGACTGCATATAAATAAGCAAGATCTGTAAAACACA